TTGTATTTGGCCTTCCTGTATTGAAGGTTGCGCACCCCGTCACTAATTGATTCCAAGCTTTCATTATTTCAAGATGAAAAAGGGCTATTACTTTTATTTTATTCAAATCATTTCCTCGTTGTTTCATTTAATTGAAAGTGAACACTTTTTCATTTAACATTTTTACTTATGATGCCCTATAATTCAATCAAAACTAAGCTGTTTCGCCTCAATTTGACGTTAAATATATATTTGTTATATTGGTATTTTAGATCCCACAGGTAATCTGGTGTCAGATTTATCATCCAAAAAATACCGCAAATTTTTATGGGTGATAATTCAACCGTAAACGCGTCAAATAATACGTTATTTTGGCTGACTTATAATTATAATAGTGATCGACTGTGTCGATATCTAGCTTGCTGGAAAACTCGGCGGCCTAATTCATTACGAAATGATTTCAGAAAGCTCGGCTTTCCTTTCAACTAGATAAATGTGAAAGTTCTATATTTATTTTGCGACTCAATATCTGCTTCGCCAAATGTGAAAATCCAAAATGTTGACTGAAACAGATGTTGGAGTGACTCATGCACTGCTTTGACCAAAAAACGGAAATACCGAAATATGATGCGTTGGTGAATAAGAATAGCTTTGTGTCACTTTCTCCTCCAACAAGGCTTATGCGTGCATTACATCAGCGAGACATTTGGTCAGTTTGCAATACCGCTTATAAGACCGTGAATATCGTGCGATTTTATCAAAAAATTGGATCTCCGCTCTAGGAACCTTTATTCTCAGTATTTTCGTGTATCTGTATGTTTAGCTGTAGAGTCTAAACGGCTGTGCCTATTTGATTGAAATTTCTCACGTGGGTTATTCACCCTAGTAATGTGCGTTTCACCTAAAGCCTTTCGTTTCCATGGCAGCAGTGAGAAAGCACGCCGATCGTTTACGATATGATACTCCCGTAGTGTGTGTACCAGGTTAGTTTTTTATTCAGATTTATTCTTTATTATAGTTCTATTACGATCTCGGGGACTGTCTGTGTTAGCCAAGTGAATATACTTTCTGCCCATAGGTTACAGTCTCTGTACACAACTTGATGTAAAGTAGGAGAACAAAATTAGTTACCTCTCGGTAGCTCTTGGTAATGCACTTTATTAACTTTGTTCGGCGTTCTTTTGTTTCGAATAAATGTACGTGGCCATGCTTTGAGCTAATTGTCTGAAAAATGTTACCCTGTCGTTCGTTTCAATTACATAACATAGTATTTTTATACTTAGCCCGGGGAAGATGAAAGTCGGCCTAATCATATGACGAACCAAAATGTCTCGTTCGGTCACCACAAAAATGTGAGATGTGGCAATAGTTTATCAGGTGTTGTTTCAAATTTATGAAACTAGGATCTGGTTTTCATATTCATCCTGGGATGGAAGGCGATTAGACGACCTAATTAACCATATGCAAACGACAAAATCTAGTCTGGTTACCAGTCAATGTCGCGTATGGGATTAGTTAGCTAGTAGTTAGTACTTAGTAGGTATTTTTCACCATACTGAAAATACACTTCGTACGAACGAAATATAGAAAATAACGTAGAAAGAGCATTTCATGGTGTAGGGAGGCGCGAAAAACCAATACTGGTTATCGACATCCTTTACATACTGGCGATGACCACCCGTCGTGTTTGGACAATCCATACAGCCAATAAATTCTTACTTTTTATCAGTCAACCTTCGACTTCTAGATGTTGTATTATGTACTGTTTGTTCAAAGCTATAAATTGATTTCAAGAAAAATTCATCTTATATGTTAAATCAGGCGATTACTTGATTTAATTACCGTGCTTTTGATGTGCTTTTATGCGTAATGCTGATAGATAAATAAAATTCGATGTTATGTTCTGGATTAGGATAAATATAAAACTATAGGTAAATGGTTAGAGTAAGCATATAAAGTGGGATTTATGGTATGTTCTGGGTTATGATAGATATAAAACTTTAGGCAAATGGTTAGAGTAAGCATATGAAGTGGGATTGATGGTATGTTCTGGGTTATGATAGATATAAAACTTCGGGCAAATGGTTAGAGTAAGCATATGAAGTGGGATTGATGGTATGTTCTGGGTTATGATAGATATAAAACTTTGGGCAAATGGTTAGAGTAAGCATATGAAGTGGGATTGATGGTATGTTCTGGGTTATGATAGATATAAAACTTTGGGCAAATGGTTAGAGTAAGCATATGAAGTGGGATTGATGGTATGTTCTGGGTTATGATAGATATAAAACTTTGGGCAAATGGTTAGAGTAAGCATATGAAGTGGGATTGATGGTATGTTCTGGGTTATGATAGATATAAAACTTTGGCAAATGGTTAGAGTAAGCATATGAAGTGGGATTGATGGTATGTTCTGGGTTAGGATAGATATAAAACTTTGGGCAAATGGTTAGAGTAAGCATATGAAGTGGGATTGATGGTATGTTCTGGGTTATGATAGATATAAAACTTTGGGCAAATGGTTAGAGTAAGCATATGAAGTGGGATTGATGGTATGTTCTGGGTTATGATAGATATAAAACTTTGGGCAAATGCTTCATGGTATGTATTCAAATTTGGCCGCACATAAATTGTTATAAACAATTAAAGAGTATATAATTATTTCATTATAAACCGCACGCCTACTGTTCATTATGCTGTCACAAAACATACTAATTTTTTTAATTTAAAAACAACAGGAAACGAACGCGGAAATAATTATTATGCGGTCATAAAGCTCTAATGTGAAGCACCTGTGCATTTTATGAATGACTGCAAGGCTGACTGGTCTCGTATAGGCTTTAGGGCAGCTTCGAAGTAGCTTTTTATTTATTTAGGTAATGTAAGTTTTTTTAATACATTCTGTATTATTAAATTTCACTTTGTTTTCTTTGACGTCGCAAACAAATTTGGCAGTGCCAAGTTGGTCGCGGTGAAAAATGTTTGAAAAGCACCAGAATAGCGAGTGGTTAATTTGTGTCATGCGCTCTTCGTGTCGAATAAGGCTTTTCAGAAAAGGTGAGAGAGGATCGTGGTTAATTTTTTGTAGCGAATGATACGTAAGAGGCTAATATAGTTTTGAATCATCGGAATCTTTCCGATTTGACATATTGTCTGCCTATTTCCCAATTTATGACTTCCAGGGCGAGCCGGTGAGCATGGGATTCGTTAAAGCTAGGTATTAGGTATCTGCCCGAGAGAGTAAAGCCGGCAAGACATTGTGATTATATGGGAAACTAGGACCTCTCGCATGCTTACCAGTCGAGGGTTGCCATATGAACAACAGGTTAGGAATTAGGGTGGATGGTCCCAATTGTTCAGATTTGTTTATAGTTTTCATTTATATAGGTTATATAACAACGCATAGGTCGCCATGCCCCCTCCTCCCAATTTTTACCATTTTTTTTTAAATGCAATTTTGCGTCATTTGCGGTAAAACATAAATTTTACGCATTTTCAAACACCATTTTGCTCTATTCTTGAACGATTTACTGACAACTGACTTTTTCCTGGCTTGCTATTGATAATTCTTTCACCAAATGCACCAACCGAGATAGATGAAAATGTGCGCTTGTATACCTTGGATAACATCGACATCAAAGTAAGTCTGTAGAGAGATTCTTTGCAATATTGTTAGATATCAGCGGCTGCTTTTATCTGGCCTTATAAGGAACAAGAGGCTCGAGTAAGCGTCGGATTACGTCATTATAAAAAAATTGCACCCCGCCTCAATTTTGGGCTGGCTACGTTCTTGTAAAAAAAGAATAGTGGTTAACTCTTTTATACAAAGTAATCATACGCCTTTCGCTCCAAACAAGCCTCTTCACAAGCAGCCATGTTATATATATATTTGATAAATGCTTGAGAGCGGAATCGATTTGGGGTATAGTTTATACTTATTTAGAAAAAGTAAGAGGAAATAGGGGTTAATTTGTTTTAATATTTTAGGTGACCATGCGTTTTTCGCTCCGACAAAGACCATGCACAAGAAGCGGTACTCCCATAGTGTGTGTACCAGGTTAGGGTTAGAGCATAATTTCATGCCGGTTTTCCTTATTTTAGTTCTATTACGAGTTCGAGGACTGTCAGTGTTAGCCAAGTGAATACCCCCCTGCCCATAGGTTTCAGTCCCTTTACACAACTTGATGTGAAGTAGGCGAACAAAATTAGTTACCTCCATATTGGTACACATACTCCTGAAGCGTACATGAAGCAACTGCTGGGTAAGACGCTTCAATAGTTTGGACATAGTTTCTACTTTTTTACCAGATGTAAAATTAGTTGTTAACTCATTAGAGCGAGGATTTAGCATTTGTCCTAGAGGAGAGGAAAGCCGCTAATGCGGTTTAATGTCGAACCATAGCTTCGGGCTAGCGTTGTCATAGTTGAAATGCGCTTGTCTGAAGAAGTCTAGTCGTTCAAGGGCCGCATTTGGACCGCAGTTTGCCCACCACTGACCTAAAACAAACATGCTCTTAACTAGGGCTTTAGAATTCTTCGGACTCCACTGCCGCGGTTTGACCCACTTGTTTTTGCATCTCCGCTTCACTGCCAAACAAAGGAATCTGTCAAACATATCACAGTTGAATTGACGCAAATAAAAATTAATTAGTTGTGATGGCTTCTGATGAGTTTATAAAACGCTTTGAAGGTTGATAATAACTGTACAAAGTTTAAATCGTATTCAATGGCTTTTATTAGTATTTAGACCGGGGGTGAGCACGAAGTCAAAAATTTTGCCTATCTCGACTGACGGGCCATGTAAGTGTGACGTAAAAAGTTACATTTTACGAACAATATTTACAATTTTGTTACTCCCGTAGTATGTGTCTTAGGTAAGGGTTAGGACGTAATTTTATTCCGATTTTCCGTATGTTAGTTCTATTACGAATTCGGGGACTGTCAGGGTTGGCCAAGTGAATATACCACCAAGTGAATATAAAGAATTCGCTCGTGTTAAATAATAATTTGATTTATTTTACAGTTTTAGTCTATTTAAAAATTTAGAAGTTATTTACGAATTTGGATCGACTAGTTTCGAACACATACAACAAGAATGCTGCTAAGGATAGCTATTTTGGCTCTTTGCCTTGGTAAGTAAATTTCTACGCTCAATGCTCCGATTTTTTTACAAGTCTGAAAAGTGGACGTGGAATAGCGGTTACATTTTGTGGCTTTTTAGGTATTGATTTTAATAAATTAGTGTATTAATTATGTGGGTATTAATGAATCCCAGAAAAGAGAGATATTGTAAAAAAACAAGATTTCCATTATCATAGCTTATATATCGACACAAAGGCTAAATAAAAGTGCCCAAATGAATTAGAATAATAAGTTTATTTCTTAGGATGTAGATAAAATAGTTCGGACACCCCTAAGTCCATGCCCACAAGAATATTTTAAGATTATTCAAATTATCTTTACGTTTTTTCTTTTTTTCCAGGGCTACCCTCAGTCCTCTGTGTGGATATGGAAGCAGTGATTGATATGTCCGGGTACAAAGGTAGTGTGACGTTTGTCCGTATCGGAGATGACGTCAACGTCACGCTTCAGTTCACGACAGGAAACAATTCAAACAAATACGATAAAATAGAACTTGTAACCTTTCCTTCTGTATTCGGGTGAGTAAAATAGTGCACGGAGCCTAAAAATTAGGAACTCCGGAAAGTAGTGAAATATGCAAATTATCAATAATGGTATGAAGGAATTCTTACAGGAGGGAGAAAGCTGATAGGGCAGATTAATCACATGACAAAATTTCTAATTGCCAATTTAGACCGCAGAATTTTGAGTGCCTAAAAAGTGTTTCAATCTACGAAATATTAAAAATGAAAGAGGGGGAAGAGTTGGGGTCCAAGGTGTTTTGCTCAAATCTCACATTTTTTCATTAGTGGAGGGGATCGTTTTTTTTTTCTTTAACCCAGAGTCGCGCGAAACGAATGTAACATTGTCCAGACTGCACAGAACATATATAAATGGTGAACGGCTCTATAAAATTTCCTCCTGAATGCGAGGCATTCATAATTTGTTTATCCACCTAAATATTATTGAAGTCAGATATGAAGGGAATCAATACAACAAACTTGCCCTGGGGAGAAACACGCCTGTGAAAGTGGGACATTACAATTTTGACATACTAAAACATCTTTACTCAAATAAAAATATTTTTTCAGACGACAGAAGACAGCCGCTGAGGTCTGCAACAGTTTGGGAGCTGCGATAGTGGGTTTTATGATAGGTAAGATAGGCTCCTGACTTAACCTCTAAGATTAAACGCAAATGGGTGTACCTAACGACCCAAAGAGTGTAGCTGGACCAATTTGTTTTTGTATAATGACACAGTACGACGCTTGCTCATCGCTCTGAACAAAGTTAGCCACTGATATCAAATGGTATATTAAAGTATGAAAGCAATTGTCGCAAAATTGCATCTAAAAAATGTTATAAATTTGGGAGAGGTGGGGGTGGTTATAGCATATGGATCTTACACTTCCTAACATCGTATATCCCTATGTCAGTGGCTACTCGTACATAGTCTTGTTCAAATCAAAAGCTGTAAAGCGTTGTATAAAAACGATGTATATTTATTTTCTTTCCAGAGAACTCGACAGCTATAATCTCAGTACTGCCAGAATCGATCTATTTTCATCGCTCTGTTTACATTTCAAGTTCAAGCGACCAGTCAGTTCCAAGACTATGCGGAACAATACTCCCCACAACAGAGAATGTGACGTCATACAGAGCAAAATTTATGGGCCCGGTTAGTGGGACCGTATGGTTGAGGTAGGTCTAAGTACGACAAACGAACTCGATAACTCGCATTTTTTCCCTGTAGGGTCGAATTTCAGTGACTAGTGTAACTTAGTACTACGTGTACTTCTAGATGACGTAGCATAACGATTTTTGCATATGCTAATCCTAACCCCCATCAGACTATGTCATTCAAAAATTACATCAATACGACGTCACATCATAGAGCTTGCAAAAGAATAGCTACGATCGCCCGAAATGGCATCTGCGCGACTCACTAACGGCAGCGATCTCTCACATATCGGAATCGTTTCGACAACAAAACCAGCGAAAAAGCTTGCTCGCTATTACGGTCTGCGTGTTTTTGGACGACCATCCGTATACTTTAGAGAGAGTCTTATTGCGTCAGGTGACGTCGCAGTAATGTAATTATTGAATGACGTAGTCAGGGAAAGGTTAAGAATAAAATATGCAAAAATTGTTGAGCCAGGTCAACGAAAAGGACGTGTGGTGATTTTACTAATCATTGGTAACAACGGTCTGCCAAATACGTTTTCGTTATCAAAATTATTTTTTCGCTGTCCGGAGCTGGATAAGAATTTAAATTTCGAAGCCCTGCAACATATTAAAACTTGTCATATCTTCCTAGAAGGCAATCGCCAAATGCTCACTTTTTATGAAGGATTTTTCACTAATGCAGATATCTCGCCAACGCCGGCACCTTTATCTATGGCGATTTACTGTGGGCAGATGGAACCGATACTTCTTTAGTGATGTTGAAAATGTTTCCTGGTGGTGCTGTGGACGATACCAAGCCTTTCGACGAAAGATGCCAGACCATTTCTGGAGGGAAAGATGTTGCCATGGTTACTGTGCAGAAGTCGACGACGATTGATGGTAAGTAACGGCGTTGGCGAGCGCCATGTCACCGTTATGAAGGCTTGGATTAAATCGAGTCATCAAAAAATTGAAAAAATACTCTCAATGAAAGGACGCTGAGCGATTTATGAGAGGGTAAAATGTTGCCATGTTTACTGTACAACAGTCGATATCAATTTGACAAAGACTTGAAATGAGTCGATCATATTGAATATTCGCTTTTAGAATATAAATCAGAGACATTAACGATGTCGGACGCTGCTGATCAATTGTACTTTTTTCTTTTCCAGGCACATTCGGGATCTTTTTACCCGACATCACGACGTTCCTCCCTAAATTAGGCGCCATGGTGGGTGATAAAATTGTCGCTTGTACCACCTTGCGGATGGTATCAACAAAGACAGTGACGTCAACAATGAATTGGGAAGGAGTCAAAGGTACTTTCACATTCACGCAGAAATCGCCATTTGATGCCACGCAAACTTCGATAGCCCTTACTGGTCTAGCGGTAAGAAATTATTTTTAAATATATTTAAACATTGAGCGCTCCAGAATTATGTGTATCAATATGGGGGTAACTAATTATGTTCGCTAACTTCACATCAAGTTGTGTAAAGGGACTGAAACCTATGGGCAGGGGGTATATTCACTTGGCTAACACAGATAGTCCCAGACTCATCTTAGAACTAAAATAAGGAAAATCGGAATAAAATTATGGGCTAACCCTAATCTGGTACACATACTACGGGAGTACAGAACATTGAACAAAGTAACACAAACTCACTCAGAGATTAAATAAAATTACTCCTGAGCAAAGCTACGGGCCACATTCTTACACAACTTTATTAATATCATGCCAAGTGTCAAATTTGTAAGCTCCGTAATTACAAGCTAACAATTTATGTTTATACGTCGGGAATGGGAAGTTTCTTCTTACAACAAATACCGTGGTTCCCAACCTCCTTCATCTTTCCCTCCCTTTGACTATTTTTTTTTATCGAAAATGGCTGGGAAAAACTGAACTAGGTCACAAGCTACTTGGAATTTAAAAAAATGGCTTTCTTTTCTTTCTTACAGTCACGAACGAGCGGTTATCACGTGCACAAGTTTCCGGTTGCACAAAGACTTTCATCAAGTGAGAATCCATGCGATGCCAGATTTGTAAGCGGACATTTCAACCCGTATAGTGTCGACGTAAATGCTAGTCCGTCACCAGGAACTGGGACAGCGGATCAGTACGAAATTGGTAGGTAGTCCTGCCTCAATGTATTCTTTATTCTTATCTTGTCATATCAAAAAGTTCCTAAATACCATGTAATACGATACCCAGGTGACCTCAGCGGAAAATACGGAACGTTGGCGAACAAGAATGAATTCAGCGCGATGTATACAGACTGGAATCTTCCTTTGTTTGGCCCCAACAGCATCGTCGGGAGATCCATAGTCATTCACAACGCAGACGGATCCAGGTATATTCTTTGTGTTAGAGTTTGGGCGCTCTGAAAGTATGGGCATCAAGATGACGCACAACCTTAACCCTGATCTGGTACACATACTATGTTCACGCCATCGTGGTACAGATACTTCGGGAGCACCAGAGTTTAGGCAAAACAAGGTTCTAAAATGTCGAGTAATTTTGACCCAAAATTATTACATTGGACGACTCAAGCACGCAACCTCATTCCCAAACCGCGGCCTGCGTGCCAATTACGGTCCGTGAAACGATTCAATTGGCCCGTCGAATTTGAAGTGAAATAGCCAACAATTTGTTTTTACTTCTTTATTCTCGATACGCCAATTGTTACGTCATTATCACAGTTTAATCACGTGTATATTCGTCACAATTCAATTACACCGGTATTTTAATTATACGTACCGGTATCAGCTCTTGGGGCGCTGACTCGCGAATATCCTTCCGCTTCTAATTTGGCCCTTTGTAAATCACATTTGGTAACCGAGAGAGAGTTACGAAAGTGGATTATGTGCCGTGAGGTGATACTTGAAGTAGTTTACGACGATACGATTGAGGAAAACGACTATGATGGTAAATTCCACATATTTGAGGTTCTTGGGAAAAATCACGGCCGTGCGAATCCCTTGGTCTACCAAAGCGGCACACTAGAACACTATAAAGTTTCTTTCACTTTTCAGGCTAATGTGCAACACTATCGGGTATCCAGGTGCAGTGACAACAGGCTTCGTTGCTTTCAAAACTCCAGCATATGGAACAATGTATATCAGACAAGAGTCGGCCAGCCCGGATGCCGATACCAGCATATTCATAGAACTTGCGAACCAGGTTGGTTTCGAAATTTTTATGTGCTTTGGACGTTCTGAATTCAGTTTAAACTTGGCAACATAAAACTTCTTTAAGCTAACCTGATTGTACAACGAACTGCTTAGCCAGAGGGATAGATGGTATGCCAGACCGACTGAGTAAGCACATTACGACTGATTTCGCGTGGGGAATTTAATACTTTCTGTCCGAACCAGGTAATATAATGCTCTAGACTGCAGAAAAGGTTGTCACGGTTCTGCTGATAGGTTCGTGTTGCAATATGATTTTAAAATTATCACCTTTCGGCGGGCTTCATATTTTTCAAATTTTGAAACGTCGCATTTTTTATTACGTGTTTCTCAAGCAAGGCACTCTCTACGCATCATTCAGGGTGAAAAGTCCTGATGAAAAACATATATATCGCATTTTCCAGTACTAAATAAAAATAATTTTTTTCACAGGACAAAACAGCGACGAACACTCACAACTGGCATGTCCATGTTTACCCAGTCAACGATGACGCTCTAACAGGAACATGCGCAAGTGCTGGCGGGCATTACAATCCTTCGGGGGTGAGTTACAGTTTTGTTGGATTGATGAATGTTTTTAATGCAACTATTTCCCAATCCTAATTGGCAGTTTGGTTACGTCAAAGCTGCCCAACCCGACTAAACAAAACTTTCTGTTCGACAAACGCGAAAGCAAGTATGCGATCATCAGCGACGAAACTTATAAAAATGAATTTGCAACCCAAATTTATTTCATTTGAATTATTATTTTTCTTTTCGGCTTAGATAGTCCTTATTGCCTCCGTAACACAAGAAAAGACCAATACATTCGTTACTGGCTCCGGAATTCGTTTTATCTGAGTGTATTTTTCTATCTTTGTAGGTACCTTTTACTTTATTAGGTGCTTCTATTGATGATTCAAATTTTACAAAACGGCCCACTAAAAGTTTCGGATTCTCAAGTAAATCAGGCATTTAGGTTTGGTAAAAACGTTTGCGGTGAAAGTGCCCCGCGACACTAAAATGGTTGGGCAGGATTAGATTACACATAGTCATAACATGTAAATTGTATTTTCAGCTTAGTGTTGCCAGTCCTTTTTCGACGGAATGCAATTCAAACGATCCTCTCAGATGCGAGCTAGGAGATTTATCTGGTCGACTAGGACAAATTAATATAGTCTCGACGCAGCGGACTGAAAGTGGGAAATTCTTCTTCACGGATGAGTACCTTCCACTATCTGGCGCTTTTTCAATTCTTGGAAGGTAATGTATTATTGTTTGAATTTTTTTTTAATCACACGACGCTTATCAGCGCCTAATGGTTCGAAGAAGATTCTGTACAATAATCTACTAATATTTAATGGACGGCGTGAAAAAAAGGTTCAATAAAAAAAGAATCATCCAGTCACATCAACCTGAACGTGTAATTTTGGCGGAATATAAAATATTCCGTCTTTTCCCCAAAATATTAATACGCCTTATGGAATATAACTAAATTTTTCTTACCCTGTTCAAGGGGTGCTTTTTATAACATATCAACTTACTGTGAATTTTGTTTCAGATCTATGGTTGTGCATGATCCAAATGCAGGAGCACCGAGATACGCATGCGCCAACATCACTCAACTGCATCCAACCGTGGCGAAAACCACTGGAGCGTGGTTAGGAACGGCAGATGGATCTGCAAGTGCAACAATTACATTGAGACAAGAAACGGAGTTCGATATGACCCAGGTTCGTCATTAACGGAAGTATACCTATGAATCGTTTTGTATTTATGTTGTTGCTGACGGTGGTATTGTTTTTCTGTTTGTTATTATTGTTGTTGAGCCTTCCTCGCCACTGACCAATAGCTTAGCGTTTAAAGTTTGTTGTTGTCGCTAGAAGGCTAAAATTTCGTACCTTGTGGCGGTTCCGCGTCCGCCGCGACTGGCAGATTGCATACATGTACAACTTCGCTTTGCCCTGGGTATCCATAAATTCAACCTTTCACATTGGTGGACCGGTATAATCAAATAAAATAAACTTGCGGACTGGCAACACAATATTGAAATGAATAAAACAGAAAATGATAACCTGTGCTTAAGTAACATACTTCAAACTAATCAAATAGCATCGTATTGAAAAACAACCACATAAGTAGCATTGCGATGGAAGGTTGCAAAAATTGCCTTTTTTACCCGAAAGTCACAAATACGTAGATTATAGACACATGCGAGAATCACTGCGGTTTGGAATCTCGAGTGTGATTACTCGTCGCCAGGACGTGGCCTGAAAATCCTTACTGTACGTGTTACAGCCCCTATTAAACGACGCGTTCGTATTATAAAGCAGCGTAACTTTGACTTTCTGGTAACGAAGTAGTTGCGCTAGCAGAAAAATTGCAGAACAAGGAAATTTCTCGCGGAAACAATAGATCAGAATATTAGTATTGGTAAGTCTGTCTGTAGTATATTTTAACTAATACCGAAGTCTAACATTAAATTATACTGAGGAAAAAAGTCGAACGTAAAATACTACCAAAAACCGGACTTACGATACATTTGAGCAACCCGATATTCCAGTGTCGCCCATTACAATGTAATATTTTAGCTGATTAACAAACAAATAACTGACATAGATTTTTCATCCGAGATAGGTATGCAGATCAATAACCAGTAACGCCACCTCTCCATTGAACGTTGATGGCTATATTCTTTACAAGAGCCAACACTAGGCCGGGACATTAGTGCCCTGTCAAAGTCCGTATTCCAATCCTTGGCTAATTGTAACGTTCTCGCCCTGTCAGCGCATGTATTACCACGATTGATCACAACCACCGGCTAGCGATGGCACAGAACAACACTAAAGACAACACACCTCTAATTATTAGCCGTAAACAAATAATGCGCATTTGTGCGCTGTGATGATGGGAGTCTAAATTTTGATCACGCTCAATCCGGAATCATAGACCTCAATTAGAATCAATCTCAATTGAAATGGAATAAACTTTTAAATGCCAACGTTATTATAAAACAAAAGGGCAGTGGTCGAATATATGAACATAAAGTAACTTACAGTACCTAGTCTACAGTGAGTTACCGGTATATCGAAAAAGGAAAAGCAAAATGTTAGACCGCCGTCACGCTTAGCCAAATAAAAATCGTGTTCCCATGGAAAAATTTAACGGCGATTTCTCACCAGATTAATAGAAAATTTAGGAACAAATAAAAGTAAATAGCCTTCTAGCGATAACAATATTCTTTAACCACTGAAAATTCCAAAGCAATTGGTCAAGTAGCGAATTTTTTTCATAGGAGGAAAATACTATCAAAAAAATTAGGATGAAAAAGAATCAACTCGGATTCAAAATGTCTTTCATCCTGATTGTCTGAGTAAGAATGTTTTTTTTGTCTTCTCAGGTTACCGGATCCTTCAGCGACTTAAACAACTTGGCGAGTGGTTACCATATCCATGAATATACGATCTCGAAAAAGGCAGCCTCAGAAGGCGAGTGCTCGGCTGCATCGGTATCGGGACATTATAACCCGTTCAATTGGACAGGTCAGTGGCATATCTAAGATTAGCTCAAGGCAAACGGATTCGCGCTCACACACAAGTAAAAGAAATTGTTTTCTGAATGAAGTTACGGCTCTCACGCAGAAGTGAAGGAGACTCATCTCTGAGCAAAGTTACTAGCACTCAATCGGAAGAAAAAAGACTCATCTCTGAGCAAAGTTACGGGCACTCACTCAGAAGTAAAGAGGACTCATCTCTGATAAAAGTTATGGGCATTCACTCAAAAGTAAAGGAGACTCATCTTTGAGTAAAGTTTAGGGAACGCACTCAGAAGTAAAAGAAATTCATTACTGATACTAAATATCTGGATATATCAACACTGTTTTATTTCAGATCCAACAGCTGCCACAGTCGGAACATTCGACCAATACGAGGTCGGAGATTTAAGCAACAAGTACGGGCTTTTGGATTCACAAACTTCGGCGAATATTCCAGAAAACACCGAGGACACGAATTTACCTCTGAACACATTCATATCAGCGTCTGATCGGTCCATTGTGATTCATAAGAAACATGGAGAGCTGAGGTATTATTACGATTATTTCTTTGGGTGCACTGGCCTTCGCTGGTTACACATCTCGGGTCATAGAGAAATGATAAGTAGTTGGTCACGCTAAAACCAAATAGCACAAGACAAGCTACAGAAGGCTCGGCGGTGTGGCGCATCGTGCTAAGCGTTATAAATAGGCTCGCCACCGAACCTCTGATTTCCATGCGTGGGTTTGCAGGTTCGAATCCGCGGGGTTGATTATGTGCGAGAGGTTTACTGGACTCTTCACCTCCGTAGGCTGGTCGGTACGGCTTCCACCACAATCAAGTCCATGCATCAGAAACAAATAACTGGCTTATTAATCCCATACCCGACATAAACTGGTAACCGGTCAAGAGGCCGTGGTCGCCATATGATAACGCCGTCTCATCGTCTTTCCCGTTCCCCCGGGATAAATATGTAAATCCTATCCTATTATTTCAGATGGAAATGCGCCAACTTGGTCACTCATCCAGATTCTTCAAGCAATGGACACGTTATATCTGCCACTGTCAGCTTTACTTCTGATGTCACAGGGACCATAAAACTGGTAAGTCAAAGTAACTTTTTTGTCGTAAATGTACAGATTTTTTCAAATTCGCGATCATCACCATTATATGACACATATTGCTTAATTGTTGTTGTGGGGTTCTTTTTGTTGTTGAGAAAAATCTCATTTTTTGCCATTTGATGGAAAAAGTTGGAAAATTGTGTATTTTAAACAAATTTTTCTGTCTGTTTTACAATTCACAACCACAGATTTGTTTATTTGGCTCCAATTTTGGTGATGTTAGAATTTCGATCTTCGTGCCCATTTATTTGAGCATAGCTCCTTGTTATCACTGATGATGCAACGCGGGCCACAGTTGAAATGCCCAAGAGCGATCTGTTATCAAGATATTCATTCTGAATGTTCTTCTAGAGACTGGTATTTTTAGAATAGAATAGTCTTATTTAGAATAGTCTTATTTATCTTTTGCAATGCGGTATTTTCATTTGTATGGCGTCATCATTGCTGGTGACGTAATATAATCTGACAAAAATATGATAGGCTGTAATGTGAATATCGCAGACCTATTTTTCTATTACAGAATATTTTATAAGTATTCAAAGTAAAAAGAGTAATTGTATGTCGTAATCATTAATCATGACGTCATATAGCCATCGGACATAACATAACAGACCAAAAATTGGTAATGTCGCATATTTAAAAAAAAAGCCCTACTATTTTCGTGATATGTTTTGGTTAGGCTATTGCCTCTGTCTTCACTGTTTATCCAATCCTGCAATACACAGAATCAAATAAATCAATGGGGTGGCGGTGGTTATACCATAAAAATAGCCTACTGTCCTAAATAATTATGTATACTGTTTGATTTCCAGAAACAAGTCGTTTACGAAGATGGCGGCTCTGGTCTGACAAGCTACGAAGTTGATGTATCCCCTCTCGAAAACAAAGCTAACGTAAGTAATCAGAGAATTACAAGTCATTTTCATAAGAAACTTGCTCAAAGCAAGATCACGCACTCACTCAAAAGCAGAGGAGATTGATCTCTAAGAGAAGTTACGACGACCACAGCTGCGCCATGAAGTATAGCGTCGAATTATGCGTTAGTCGGTGGCGTATCTAGGTAATATGGCGCCCATGGCAAAGCCTAAAAATGCGCCCCCTTGATAGTTGTTTGACAATTTATATTAACTATTATTGAATTGAGTAAAGTTATTATTTGAGTAAAAATACGAGTTTCAGTTATTCTCAATTTAAAATTATTTTATTATAACCTTTTATGATTAATACTTTTCACCGTTTTTGCGCTCCTGTTCAAACGGCGCCCATGGCTAGAGCCACACCCTAGATATGCCACTGGCGTTAGTAAATATTTATTAACGTATTTACGGGCCATAGGACGCGTTTAGCTATCGTGGTGAAATTTTAACAACAAACTTATATCTTTATATAGTAGGAATACTTCTGAAACTGTTCTTATTTCCACAGAGTCCTCAACACAACTGGCACATTCACGTGGATCCGATCACAAACCAATCTGCCTGCGCCGATGCTCTTGGTATGTGCCGCTGAGTTTTTTTTCATGCTGATAAAGATTACTGTCGTGAGCACCCTCGTCATACTCTCATGTTTTAATGTTTTGAAGTCAGTTCCCGCCAAAGAGGGCTAATTAGCACATTAGATTGGGTTCAGTGCCCATGGCGAGAAAGTCAGCATTCTCCTTGTGCATAATTGTCTCCAAAGGATTCAAAGCTACGTATCAATAGTTCACGGGTCGGCAACCTTTTGTATTAAAAGAGCCATTTGGCATCCTTTCAATCAAACCTACTCGGAGTCGCAACATCTACTCTAATGTCAGTAGCTATTAACTCCTTGAAAACTATTTATGATGGAATAATCTAATTTCTACTGAGATGAAGCCAAATGAATAACGTATTATTCAATAACGAATTGAAAAAAACTTTAAATGAACAAAAGTGTGAAAAATGAAATAGAAAAGTGTGTTTCGACAATCTCGAATCACTTTGAATGCGACCTATTTTAAATCGCTCGCAACCTATACTTTGTGGACCGCTGTGATTGGTAATTAGTGGGGTGTGTTTGTCTTTATACTTCCTGTTCATCGAATCCCTTCTACTTCTGAAAAAACTGCCATAACCGTTTAAATTGGCGGGAGCCAGAGCTCCGAAATCAAAGAGACGCATGCGGCTGTGGAGCAGAAGTCTGCCGATTACTGCTATAGTTCAACTTTTAGACCTTTCTGATGTAAACCAACGCACATTGCATTAACAGCGAATCCCTTTTTACAGGTCATTATGATCCATACGTAGCAATTGACAACACAGACTATGCAACCGATTGCTCGCCAACGAATCCAAGGTTCTGTGAGGTCGGAGACATCAGTAGGAAACAGGTACGTTGCCTTATATTATGGAGTTGATAAATCATTGAGCACAAATGTCGTAATTTCCAGTGATAAAAATATTCTCGCGATAGATTGGGGTTTAAGTTTATGAAGACTTTTTATATAAAGTACAATAGTTGCAAGTTTCTTCATAGCAAGCCCCCGAGCCCTCAACTAAAAGTGAAAATACTAGTGATATAAGAGTTATAAGTTCAATCAAAGCAAAATTTTGAGCTCTCAACTAAAATTGGAAATAGTTCTACTAGAAGAGTTGCAAGTTTCAATACAAGGTTCGGAACTGTTAACTAAAAAGAGTTAAAATCGCCACTACCAATCTTGGAACTATATATAAGTTTTTATACAGGTTTACACAAAGCCGTACTGATAAAGAAAACTGACAATCCATAGCCGATAATCTAAATAGCTCTCTTGTGGTGTGGCCATACATCGAGTGTATTTTAACCATCATAATCTTTTTGGACATGAAGTAGTGCTATGGATCCCTTTGTTATAATTAATATTAAGTTGTTATTGTTCTTTTTATCGCTTTTCTGAGTCACTAATGGACAAATTGCTTTGAAATTTTCAGTGGGTAAAGATAGTATTTTTCTCTATTTTTCTTTTATTTTCTCCTGAATTTTCTATGAGATCTTATATCTCATCTATAATGCGCTGTCTAATTTTTAATCATGGTAACACGTTTTTATGATATCGAGATGGCGGTCTTCCGCGTTTTATGACATCGTGACTGACATGACTGCTGGTACGGGTAGTCTACTGTGACAGATTGCATACCCGTACTACAGCCTTTCAGACTTCGTGTTCATATATTTTAGCATCGCTCTCTTGTTTTTGAAGGCGAAGTACGACATCGGTGGTGGTAGACGAGTCTTTCATGACGTAGATACGCCGATGCATACCAATTTCACAGGTAACCACTAACACTTTGAAACAAGGCTGTTAACAAGAGACCATACATAATTTTCATATTTATCCCGGGATATCAAGTGCCATAAAATAGCTTTTTATAAGGAAAACCGCAGAATTCCATCCGATTATAGCACAGCCATCTTGATAGATCGAAATCAAACTGAGAATTATAGTACAACGCCTAAAATCTCGTGTCCTACATGCGTGTGAATCCCACCTTTGCTTTTTCCCACATTTTCTTTTTCAAACTATTTTTTTGAAATATATAATAAATTCTGTTTGTTCATTAGTAAGTGGTAATAATAACATGTATTTCTATCCCTAACATTTCATTCTACACACCTAACTTAATAAATTTTGTTTTTAGTTCTTGGTCGTTCGATTGTTTTTCATGTATCAAACGGTGGAGCAGCCAGGTATACATGCGCTAATATTATACCGGATTCTGATAGTTATACACTATCTTTTCCGTCAACTACTAAATTTAATAGGTGAGTGCAATGTTATGATTGGTTTACCTTGATTTAGAAAAGAAACTTAATGCATATTCAGGGGTAGAAAGTTCCAAATTTCTGTATAGTAAATCAATGCCTTGCCTCTAATTACAACTCAGTTTTCACTTTATTCATCAGGCAATCATGGACGCGGGGAAGGGGACAATGGTTGTTTGTTGGACTTGACTAGATCAAAGATGAGTTTTGAAATTCCGACTCACTCGAATCTGAATGTTTCAAAAAATTCCAAATTTAGAATTTCTAAATCTAACACCTCATTGATAAAGCCATTCTGTTGCAGATACATGTTCACGAAAACTGTAGCTGATGCTCTCGGTATCGCAAGACTACGTGTCGTCATCGTTCACAACATTGATGTACCGATAACTAAATATGGCTGCTCAAGAGTCATGGTACATATAGCTGGCGGAGGTAAGTTTACTTGAAAGTATCTGATATCAATTTAGAAGTACAAGCATGAGTTATTCTGTAAGCAGCGTATCTCGTATCTCACGTGGTCCCAGTTGCAAGTACAGTTATTCTATGCAACCAACCCGAATATACATATGTAACATATTAGATATGCATATACAGCCAACCGAACTATATGTATACATATACAACCAACGAAAAATATATACCCATATATGCATAGCAAATCAGTCGAAAAATCAAACCAAACCTGTGTGACTAATCAAATATGCATATGCAACCAATCAAGCGAACTACATATACAGCCAACCAAAACTTGAGGTATAATATTGTATCAGGATATTCAATAGAAAAGACACAACGCAAGTATACCTCAAAATTCTAATTCACAGACAACTCTTCCTATTACAGCTCCTTCCGCGATAATCAACCAACTTCTTGGCGGCACACTAAAAGGACTAGGAGATTATTCATCCACAGAAAAGTGCGTCAGCGCAGTCGGCACTGAAGCATTGGGAGAAAGATCTGGTGCGATTTGGCATAGGGGGAATATATTGATTGCTATGCTAACTTTTATGGTGACTCAAGTAATCTAAAATATATGTGAATGCGGTGAAATCTACGTGGAACTAACTCTGCAACATACAATGATATAAAATATTACTCTCGACCCTGCTATGGTTGAAATTTCGATCTTCGAACACCCGAGAATATCAAATTGTGATAACAAACGATTTGCCAAATACAAGCCTTTTTAATAGACTGTTAAAAACACTCAATCAAGGTATTTTTTATTGAGTTTCTGCACAATTTTTTTACTCCAATTTTAGTCTCAAAAGTCTGAAATTCTGAGTCCGACATGTTTAAAATACGTGCATGACTCCATTGGAAACATCCCAAACTTCAATGTGATCGAACTGGTGTAATATCTATATATCTATTTTGGAAGCTACAATTGTTTATAATTTGTCTGCACTTTAATTCCAAGTTGCACTTAACCACTAAGAGCTGTGTGTTTCCAACATTCAAACTGAGACCATTATTTACTCGAAAAAGTTGCAACTCAGTTTTGTGAAATTCCTTTTTCTTTAGGGTTTCCCATACAGTACACACTGGAATTGTCACGTCCCGTAGCCATCTTTGCGCTAAAGGTGAATCTATATGTATATCTTTAGCAATTTTTGCAACTCTTCCATCAGTAGTGTTTGCCTTTCTTTCGGTGAGCTTGTATAAAATCTAATATATAGATTTTGGAGTGTTTGTCTGCAGTCACTTGCAACTCTTCTATCAGTGCTTTTTCTACTTTGAATGGTGAGCTTTGTGCCTCCTTCGAGACAACATATATTATATAAAAAATTGGGACTCACAGAAGTATGCGCACCAAGATGGCGCACAACCTGAATATAGTATGTGTGTACCGGTTAGGATTCAGGTTGTGCGACATCTTGGTGCTCATACTTCTGGAGCACCAAAAATTGTGATTTGTTACTCTAAAATAGACTCTGAAATGGTCCTTCTAATAAAACTCTTAACAAAATGAGGTCGAGAGTGAGATTTCACGGATTCAAACCTGCTACTTTTCAATATAAACCTTTTTCATTGTACGAACTTACAAACCTCTTTACATTTTCTGTAACTATTTACACCCAAGAGGCAGTTAACGTAGTTCATACTGATAAAGAGAATCTTTCTTCAAATGACGTATGTCCTCGTTGCTTTTCAATTTACAGTGTGACCCCAGAAACAGAAGTTTCAAGTACATTAGGAAATCCATGAACTCTGTTTTGGGGTATAGTTTTATGCAATACTGTACCGGGTACCGGAGCAAATGGATAACTAAACTTGAATGAAAAGAAGATTTTCATCAGTATTTGCTCAAAGGAAAGTCACTCGCACTCATTCAGAAGTAAAATAGACTCCCATCTGGGCAAAGATATGGACGACCACTGAAATGTCGAGAACTAATGATGACATGTATAATAATGATGATGCATCATGATCTAATACGATCGAAAAGACACTATGTAGTGGTGAATTCTATATAACAAAATATGAAAACATATTTCGACTCGATGTTATAACACCCCTTACACCACGAGCGTAGCCAGCTCAAAATTTTTTGTATAATGACGTAATACGACGCTTACTAGTGCCTTTTGCCACTGGTATCTAACAATATCTCAAAGAATCTATGACATGACCCCTCAGACCCCCTGTCTATGACTATGCTCCTTCCCCCTGTTTTGGTTGAGGGATCGCGACTTTGCAACATTATGACCAAAACTGTAGAACACTCATGTCTATGAGATATTGGGCTTAAATGATTTTATTTTTCCAGTCAGCATTGCACTTATTATTATATATAGATAGTAATGACTGCACGTCAAACTGTCTAGGACTTGAGATCTCTAACATACAATGCCAACAAATTTAGTTAACGTAGCCGTAACGTGGTAATTTAATATATTGTACTGTTTTATTAATTCTATTTCTCTAGTCAAACAATTTTTTTTTAATTTATCAAAATTATAATCATATTTAAATAGATTTTGTTTCCTAATATAAAACTAAAGTTAGGGTGGAATTGGTGTTGTGTTTTTTATTAGGTGTTTTGCAGTTTCGTTTGAACAAGGATTTAAACTAAAGCGGTCACTCGTACCAGGATATTATATATATCATGTTATGGGTGAAATATTTCTGAATTGGCATAAAATACCCAAGAAATATTTGCCAAACACAGAAAAAGTATAGAATATTTTTTCCTAACCTTCCGAATAAATCACAATATTTCTCAAATTATCTGACGTAACTGGAACTGAATGCATAAATTGAGTAGGAGCCTTGCTTAGAAATTGTGGCAATGTACACCACTCAACCGCTAAAGAATGTCGTAACAGTAAGCGCTGCGCTCGCACACAAATTAACAAACATGAAGAGCTGACTCTATCTCATCGTCTTAACACCACGTGACAACGCGCAAAAAGCTGTTAGAAGATTTTTCTTCAAAAAAGAAATGATAACGACAAAAAGTAGCTATTATTCGAAACTATTCTAAAATTAGCTGAAAAAATATTTGATATCTTGGATATTATATTTGACAGCCCTGAAGTATTGTTACGCCACGGGTGAAATGATAGGTGTTTTAACGAAGAACTTGCTTCCCACTAACACAGATGTATTTCTGTAACGTTTTGGTCGGAACAAAGTCAGACTTCCTCATAAAGCACTTGACAATAATCATTAGAGTTGTATTATTATGTTACTGGATAGAAGTACCCTTGAAATGCATAGTATAGTCATGTTTATTCCTGCTACAAAGTCCACTAGCGTACGGATACGGTCAAATTACGTAAAGGCATAGAACAATAGAGAGTTGGTTTTGCGTAAAACCAACTGATAGACTAATTTCATATTTAAAAAAAGAGAGAAAATTAATAGAACGGTGTCGATATTAATTAGTGTAGAATTCATGTCAAGAAACTCCCATTCATTTTTTCAAGTTAGGTCAGGTAGCATTCTGGTCTTGCCTCAAAATCTTGGTCCCGACAAAGTTTAAGTACTACTATGCTATAACTCTGATTTTATTCACAAGGCGATCCCTTGTCCTATTGTAAAAACAAGAGAAAGAACAAATATGGGCCATATTGTCGATAAATATTCTTTTTACAAGCTAGTAAATGTTCGATTTTCTCAAAATATCATTAATAAATGTGATGAATCATACTTCACAAAATATTTGTTTTGCTATTTCAACGACTTTGCTAAAAATGTGTTCAGCGGAGAACCCAGTACAAAATATAAAGACATGTTCGGTGATTATCACGACATCCCAAGAACTTCGCGTCTACCCGCTTAATAGCACCACCGTCTACCAGCCCATAATGCGACTTTAGATACGCCGGTATCCTTTTCTAACACAGTTGGTAGTACGCTCAAATAACTATTGAATACAGCTCGATATTTCAGGTAAACGGTTAGTGTCGTGTTGCAAATTTTTTAGGGTAGTTACATGTGATTTTATAACTTTAACCACCAGCGTTTCCTTGTAATAAACAATTGGTTTCCAAATGTTTTATCTTGAAAGTATGCGACTTTGGAAACTTGAAAAAATCACTTATTTTTCACGCATTCCAACCCAAAGTGCATAAAATGTAGTGAGTTCGACAAGTAACGTGAATTTTCGCGGTAAAAAATACTTCGTCCAACAGTCGGGAAATAATCTTTGTTGACCTTAATTTTAAAAAATTTTTATCGGAGAGAGGTGGTGAACGAGGTGAATAGTGTTTCCACGACTCTTCGTGAACTAGTGAATACTTAATTATCGTTACACTTCAGTAGTGCAGTACACTTCACAAGTAGTTGAGGCCTCTACAAAGTAACCTTGCAAAGACATTTGTTCGCTTCACGGCCTCCCAGTGGTAGAAGGGTCGCGAGAGGCCTTAGTTTCGAGTAAACTATTGGCGATTCGCATATTGGTTTTTCTTGCAAACGAAAAAGACAAAAATACCACTAATGATAGCATGCCGATATTGACAATTTACGAACAGAATGATTTCTATTCACAATTTACGGACAGAATGATTTCGTAAAATAAATCTTAGGCGCAGATAGATTTGTTTTACTTACAACATTAATGTGAATGCAAGTGGTTTTAGTGATTAATTTTGGTGACTTAGGCTTCGTATTGGCATATTTCAGTAAACACTACAATTTTAATTTTTAGCTGACTACGAGTCGGTGCATGTGAAATTTGAACTAGTTTATTGGCTGATTGAAGTAATAAAGTCTATATTTTTCTCTGGACGCTGTTCAGAGCGAAGATGTTGAACAAATAATATAGAGGTAATAATCATTTTACAAATATTTTTCTCGTGAAGCTACACACGAGCAGGAACGTTTATTTTACACGAAGTGTACATAAGGATCGTTTTATTGTTCTTGTTGGTATTTTCTTCTTATCCTTATGAAAAAAATCGCTTTTCCATTTACCTACTGGACTAATTGCTTTGAAATGGTTCCGTGAGCAAAGATTATACTTTTCGCAAGAAAGCTATTCCTTTTATTACTTCAAATTTCTGTGGGATCTATGGGATTCGTTTTTTGTGTGCGATGACGTCATTAAAAATTGCACACCTTATGGCGGTTCCGCGATCGCGTCAGTCGTGAACAATGCCGTACCGGTAGTCATACTGTGAGGAGGAGGAGGGACAGGGGTTGGAGAGTGAAACAAATTTTATATAAAAGTCACAATGAAATCTTTGCAGCAGAAGTTCTTCAACTTTTATCTTACATTTACCCTTTGGCAAATTGCAAGACTGTAATTTACATCATAAATTTGTATACTATAAATTCTATATGACGATAAGCCTATGTTAAAGAGTCGCAGCAAGAGCATGATGACATCTATTGCGAAAGAAGGGGCGTTGCATTTCTAGCTTCCAGAATGTTGCATCTACTATGGGGCCAACAGCCACATTTTGTCATGTGCTTTCTTGCTTGTAATTTACATCAATGCACGTCAAATTTACTTCCAAGGGATTCAAAAACTTCTGCTTTTTAGTAGCAAATGGCACACGGCAGTTTGTTTCATGATGAATACTCGCGCATAGAAATGTTTAATTATCAACTTTATTAATATTAAGATTCACACCAAGAAGATTTGAAGTCTTATGTATATAAATATGTTCTCCCGGCAATTGTTGAAGAATTCGAAAACGAAGCACACCGATGGTATAGTATTGGACCCTGAGGACATCTTTACTTTTCGACCATAAAAGAACAGTTGTTAAATATATTTAATTATATTTCACTTAAAACCTGTTCAGTCTGTATATAAGTTCGCGGTTCTTTTAGTTTGCTTTATCAGTTCGTTTGCGTATAGTAGCTATATTTGACAATATAAGAGCAATATAATGGTGCAATGTAATTTTGTGTACTTGTTAAACGATTTTACCAATACCTTTAGTTATGTACAATACCCTTCCACTAGCCTGTTTGATTGACCAATCACCTTATTAACCGGTGTTTTCGCAAGAATAGCACACATATGTCGTAGCTAATTAGTGTCTCAAAATGTAATGTCCAACTTGTCCCAATTGTAAGAATCTTCATACGAATACTCCAACCACTTGCCTGAGGTTTCATATCTATCATAACCCATCATATATTTGTTGACAAATCTTGCTAATATTTAAATTTAGAGTGCTTTGATAACTTTCATGTATAAATGATCTGGATATCTTGTTTCTCTGCTCAAATAAAATGCTTATGGTGAAAATTACGATTAGGTAAATCGCATTCAGGTCAGGTATAAGTTGGTCGGAAAGTGCGAACTTAGGATAATAATTTTATATTTACCGCGAAGAAAAGTTGACAAAGCAGCTCAATCATGGTCTGGTACACGGAGGGATTTCGATAAACCCTCTCTGAAATTTTAACCCAGCCCCTTCCCTCCCCCACAATTTTGAGGTGCGACGGCACATTCCGTAAATATATAGAGCAAAAAAGAAAAAGGGGAAAACATTATCCCGGCGTAAAAACTGAAAAAAGGGAGCAATATGATAATAGATCCAAGTGAATTAGCGCAAGTTCAATCAAATTTGGGGTCCATTCTTATGTGTTTGAACTTGCGCTAATTCACTTGGATCTATTATCATATTGTCCCTTTTTACGACGTGATAATTTTTTTTCTGCTACATATATTCACGGTAGTGTGCTATCCATATCATGCCCTGATGAAGTTTTTATGAATAGAAATTCGAAACGTCGGCAAATTACATACTTTTGGTTGTGCCTTATTAATCTTCGACATGAATATACCTGGTGGCAATCATGCGCGCCAGGTACAGGTTAACATTTATTACTGGATCTTCGCTCATATTCCCAACCCTTATTCCCATGTTATGTATGTCTATCCAGCTGTAGCGTTTAAACGGCTGGATCAATTTTGATGAAATTTTACGTCACCCTAGTATTATAAGTTTCACCCAAAGATTCATGTTTCATTTCCATGGCAGCAGTGAGAAAAAGCGTCGATCGTTGGGAATTTCCAAAATACAGTACTTATCATTTGTCGCTATTTTCTCGCCAACGAAGTCGAAAATTAAAACACCTAGAACGATTCCCTTCGCGGAGTAAAATACTCTTTGCAACGAGGGAACTTTCGTTTATAAAATGGGGAAACTCTGAGAATTTAGTTAAACATGTTTTGTTATTGGTCATTCACGCACGAATGTCGATGACAGCAAGTTTTGTTAGCAACCCCGACGCGGGCTTCAACTATGGGTGGATATCCATCTTGGGCGCCTACCGGCTTGTTATATTATTCAAATATTATTAAAAAAAAGGGATTAATTTCGGAATTAGCACGTATGTCGTCACTCGCTGATGTCCTATCTGTAATCTTATCAGTTTTAGTTGAGGACTCGAGGCTTTGCAAAAAGCAAACAAAAAATGAGGTACTTCACACCTTAGTTTCGGAAATGACTCCAGATAAGCACCAGTTGTTGAATACATTTGCCATGTTTGAAGAACTGAAAATTTTATCTATTCACTTTTTATAAGTCTTTTACTTCGAACAAGACTAGTACAAGCATGGGACGTGGTTCATGGATCTGGGACCCAAGAAATATATAATTTTTATACACACCAAATTGTTATAAACTTTGGCCATTCAAAATGGGATATTTAGGTATTTGACTTAAGCAGTCATATCAATTTTCCCCAGATGAGCGCCACAATTTATTAAATATAATACAATCTATTCGCAATTTCGATAACAACGTAATTTTTTTTATCCGATCGGTCTCTTCAATCGAACCATTCACGACTCATGTTTACTTGTGGGCCGTGGTACAGGGTTCACTAAATTTTCTAAACGTCTTCCACCCCAAACAACGCCACAGGTAGGTCTATTAAATATAATGGCGGTAAATGGGCGCTCCGGAAAGTTGTGTACCAATATGGAGATAACTAATCTTGTTCGCCCAATTTACATCAAGTTGTGTAAAGTGATGAAAGACTATGGGCAGGGGGTATATTCACTTGACTAACACAGACAGTCCCCGAACTCGTAGTGAGACTAGAATAAGGAAAATCGAAATAAAAACTTTAATTTGGTGCACATACTACGAGGGTAACGGGAAATTGAGCTGAGGCTATTTATATCTAATTTGCGACAACAAATTTTTTTTATTCACTATGAACATTTAAAATCAGGGACCTTTACTGACTGATATGGTAGTCAAACAGCATATTCAATAGCAACATACACTTCAGATAAGCAGCCACAAATCAATAAATATAATGGTATGATACGAAATATAAATCGTTATTTTCTAATTGGACTTCTGACAGGAGCATAATTTATAATTCCATCGGTGTTCCAAACCGAACATTCTACCACACCAATTGTTGACGTGTGTGCCCCACATCTGTACTATTGATTATTTAAATCGGTCTCTCAAACCGAAATATCTTCAACTCTAATTGTTTACGTACAAACCCATCTGTATTAAAGCAGCGATCCAACCGTATTCGACCGGGAATAAAATTTACGAGCGACACACCAATTTTTCTTTACTTTAGACAATATTTACCTCGCTCCTTCGTTAAACACTAAACTACTTATTACTCGACGACTTCTCGTGAGCTGTCGGTATCGAAATACTGTTTGTCCTGGAATTTAAATGCGTGACCTGAGTGAAAGATGCCATGGTATAGCGTTAGGCGTTTAAACAGTGACGAGTTATTTTCCGTAGCATATTGCATGGCAGTTAAGGTAGTTCATTTGTTATTTCTATTTTGTGTCCAAATGGATAGTTTCATGGTATACGCGAATTGGCATTGATTACAACTCTGTTGCGAAAGCAAATTATTATACATTTAAAATAGAAATTTCGCTTGCATTTTAGTTTGAATTTCAGTAAACTAAATTTTACAAACATCCGTCATCGGGAAACGGTATTAAGGAATTTACAGCTTTGTCAGTTTTAGCCTGGTACAGAGAGGATTATAGTAAGAGTTAAAACGCGGCATGTAAAAACGGAATTCTTGAAAAGCTTTGAAATGTTTTATTGTGGTGGAATCACGCATCAAACACTTGCAAATATTTTCTGTGATTTCTGTTTAAACAGTTAGTGTTATGTGAATTCGGAGTTAGTAAGTCTGACAGACGACAGTTACGTATATGGGTCTGTGATGGAAGACATACGTCAAATAAATTACCACATCCGAGATTGGGCAATTGTTTTCTCAGGTAAGAACGTTTTTTTTTTATGTATTATTCTCTAGGTCGAGTGAATCGATGTTATATAATTCAGGTAGTTTATAGAATTACTAAAATAACCAGGGTTCGTTCACAAGAAATGAAATTTGGATCTTTTGTACCAAACCGCCGCCACTAATGAAAAAATGTGGGATTTGAGAATATCATCCACGCTACATTTTTAAATATCAAATTAGTAATACAGTTTGGGTTAGAAATAATTCAAAAATTTCAATTTCCATCGCAACATGTATTCATAACCCAAACCCTAACTGCATAATAACTGTTTTTTTTATATTAAGCATTGGCACGGGGTATTTTTTAAAGGGGGGTTGTAAATAGGATCTATAACTTTATAATACTAAGTACTACAAGCTGAGCTGCGTGGTCGGGAAAAAATTTTGACTCCGAAAACGTAATCCTCTTATTCATTTATTTTGAAAGAGCTGCCGACTTTTAGAAGTATTATCGTCTCATAGCCCAATATTGACAAAAAAGCGAAAAGAAATCTGAGAAATGATGACATCGTACCAATAAAAAATCCACATTTCCGATTCTTTGAACCTGGTCACAATCCATGAAAACGATTAAATCTGGATAAAACACTGCAATTGTGCGGGTAATGTTTATGTGGTTTACCTCGGTCTCTAATACTGCTCATTGAATGATTCCTATCGAACAGGAATGATTGAACTTATGTCAGTAAGTCAGTTGTTCATTTTATCACATTTTGAAAGTACACTTTGTACAAACATAATGGTTGGCTTATGCAACCCCCTGTCGTACAGGTCATGCTCAAATGGGTCAGAGATTTCAAACGCATATTATATGGGCGATTGAAAGTTCAACTTTTATTTAAAAAGGCTAATTTAACTTATTACTTCGTTTCATACAATATAAAAAAACACACCAAATTTCGACATCAGTGCTTAGTGAATAAGCCGAATTTGCTATACCTGCGTCAGGACAATTCATTTACTGTCTGAGAAATTATGATTAAACCGGCCAGAAATAAGTCTCTGACAAATGATCAATTATTATTCGAAGTTAACACACATAAAAGTATTCTGATCACAATATAATGATGATACTAAAAGCCCACAACCCAAGATTTCACTACGTGAACTAGAGCAAATACACACCCACATAATAACCACTCTATTAAGCCTCCATAAATACATTTTCCATATATTTATGTTTACGAGCCTATGTTTTACGATGTTTTTGAGGAAATCTCCGTCTTATAAATCAATTGGATTTCTTGCCTAGTTATGACAGGTATAATAGTGCCTACACGCCGTGACGATTGGAATTACTCATTCGTTATTTTTGAAAAAGATATTACCTAATTTAAAATGGTTATTAGAATTGAGTGATTGATATTTACACACATTCGAGGCGATGGATAAAGCCTAACCCAACGTTTTAAATTCGGGGAGATATCCCCCCCCCCCCCCAATTTTGTTATTTTTGGGGAGAGATACAGCAATAATACTTTGTGTTCTTGGTAGCTTCACAAACATTTTTTAGTTATTGGGCACTAAGTGGACCTATGGATCGTTTTGTTATCATGTTGTTGTTATTATTCATCATCCGCTAGAAGGCTAATTTTTTTTTGTTTTTCTGCTAATTTTTAATTATTGAAAGTAAACACGATTTTATGATATCGTGATGTCTGCCTCCCACGTTTTTATAAATCGTTATCTGGGCGTATTTCTATAATCGTAGCCAAGTTCATTTCTTCCGTATAGTGCAAATTAGCATAGAAAGTTCATAGAAAAGTAAATTGAACACACAGTTTTGCTGGGGAAGGGGAGCCACTGGGAAACGAAAGATGGTTCTCAGGCATCGTAACCCAAGGTTATGGTATCTACTTAAAATCTACAATGACGGTAATTTAGAGTTTTCATTTCAGTTATTTTGTTATATTTGCCGATTATTGTGTTATTGAATTTGATCCGTCAGCTGTACGATATATCAGAACTGGCAGATAAATTGATAATCCAGATGACATATTTTTTAAATTTAATAAATACTTACATACTCAATTTTATTAGCCAAATATTTCAAAATTAGTGAATGACATGATCATTTTATCATCACAGCGTGTAGTCCCTTCAGCCACAACCTGATAAAAAAATTGAATTGATTTATACGATGGAGCTTTTCTCACTAACATCGTATACATCAATATGTACATGTAAATACATGTTGTATTTATTACGAATTTGAGCGAACAGACTAAGTAGTGAGTAGTTAAGCGAAGTCAGGTTTATTTGCATTGAAACGCAAATATGGTTATCAAGAAGCGTTCGAAATATATAAGATCGGGAAAATTGTAGCTTTATTTCATATTTCGAAATCTTTTTGGCATCTTCCTACAATGATAAATCACAATTTTAAACTTTTTGCATTATTTTCAGTTATTGTCTGCTCTATGGTTGCCTCACAGAATGTTCAATGCAACAACAATCAAACTATCGAGAGAAGACAAATTTGTGACAGTATAATAGATTGCGAAGACGGTAGTGACGAAATCTATTCAGGGACCGGATTCAAATGTATTGTTGCCCGGGAGGGAAGCGAAAAGAAACGGAGTAGGTGTGGCATTGAAATATGTTTTCGTAGTTTCGTTTTGCTCCAAATATGGCAATTAGCGACAACCCGTTGACTATACTTAGTACATCTAATCTCGGAAGTCTGGAAATGTTCTGTCAACTTAATTAGATACGATTTAAAAATTTATGAGTTAATAATAATTATATACATGAAAAACTTAATCTGACTCAAAGATTATACGGTGATGTGAAGAAAACTGTAAGCACTTTTACGAGGCGTATTACTTTTTTCATTGACTAGAGACAAGACGTTATCATGAAGACGAGTATTGGGATTTATGCCCAATGAGACAGATTGTAAGATGGCCTACTCATAAAAAACACGGCTTGCCTTCCGAATGCCAGCCCAGGTCGGGATCGGGTATTTTTTTATCAGTTCATTTTATTAGATGTACGAGATCTACCCGCGCGAACCGTCATGTCGCCATGATGAGTCCAGTATTCGCCATAATTATCTCTCGCAGGATTCGAACCTGGTGCTCAATACAAAACAGAAATAAGCAGTTGTCGCTCATAAAAAAATACTGCGCTAATTCCTAATTTTTGAAATGCAGGAGATGCGTTCTACCTCAATCAATGGTACATGATGACGTAATAGACTGTGCTGACGGATCAGACAAGTGTTCCAATTCAAGACATGAGGTCATACCATCGCTCTGTTTTCGTTGCTTGGATGGAAGCATGATTATATCTAGAACGCAGGTATGCCAGTTCATTTATTTTGTTACGGAAATAGCGCGTGACAAATTTAGTTTCGCGCCGCATTTTGTGGAACTCGAGTTCAAGGTTGAGCTGGTTTCTCAGGACAAGACCAACATCCTGTCGGGAGTTTTGGATATTGGGCAAACTATGAATTGTCGTGAACGTTCACATTGCACCCCATTAGAATTCATATGGAAAATGCATTGCATAACAGCAATCGCGATGAAAATTTTATGCGATGTTTCAGACTTTCGCTACGAAAAGTTCCCTAAACAAGCAGCCGCTACCGAGATATTTTTTCCAAGTAATCCAAAAATATTATGCGCCATTGACTCCAAGTCTTTGAAAGTTATGAAAGCTTTAGAATCCCTTTCTCGAAATAATAGTTGAAGTGCTTTGGGCGGTGAAATAGCGACACCGGGTGGTATAATCGCAAAGGAAATATAAAATAAAATAGGAATAACCGTAAATTACCCGCTATTATATAACTACTTTTTGTCGTTGCAGGTCTGTGATGGTATCATAGATTGTCCCGACTTATCAGACGAATGCATATGTGTGAAGCGTAATTCAAGGAAACGAAGATCAGCTGCGAAGTTGTTGAGAAATCCCATATGCGATCAAATGAGGTATTGGTGGTTTCGAGTTGAAATGATTTGAACAATTGGAAATTGATAAGCATATGATTTTGAATTTTTTTTTCATATAAAATTTGCAAAAAACCCGGCGTTTTTAATTGGTCCATGTTTTATTAAAACTAAGAGGCGATACTATAAGCACTCTGGTAGGTGGCATATGGCTATAGACCTCGTACTATAGTAGCACCAATTAGACCTGATGTTTATTTAATTTGACTTGGTTTGTTCATATGTTAAATATATTACCCAATTTTATTCACAGGTACTCCGAGTCTTTGAGGCACACAACTGACGAAACTGAGGCCAGTACCTGTCGCATAGGAGAAATCTTGTGCAACAGTCACAGATCCAAAGAAAAACGCAATTCGACTAAACATGACGTCATTGACGATGAATTCACATATTACTGTCTGAAACTTTGCCAAGTATGTGACGGAATAATAGATTGCCCACTCGGCGATGACGAGGAATATTGCCCACGTAGCGATTATTTTTGCAATGGTGAGTTACTATTCAATAGATTTGTTGACAAGTTACAATATTTCTCGTAGTAGAAAATGCACCTTAAATTGTAAATTAGACAGAAAACAGGGTTAGGGCACAAAAATCATATGACACATTCCGTGATTCAAATGTCATAATAATGCCATTAAAAAGATTATGAAATAACTTTGATAACATGTCGAATTGTGGAATGTCATTTATTTGTAGTTTCAGCCAAATAAGTTGTGGAGGATTTTGTTCATAGTCTGCCCTTCGAGTATTGAAAAAATATATATTTTCAAATTCCCTATTTTTTACGTGTTTTTTGTAGCGGCGATTCCAGAATAAACTAGGATCATCATTTTTAACAGGACACAATCTCATTGGAACATTTTGCGACGGAAAAGTAGATTGTCCGAACTTCGATGACGAGTGCTCACCAGATTGTTGGTTACGTCATGATTTCTGTGATGACGTTACAAATTCCCATGACAACGGCACGTTTCTACAATGCAACGAAGCAACAACAAATGATACTGGAAAAACCGAGTTGGTATCCGGTGATAAAGTATGCAATGGCGTCAGTGATTGCGTCACAACCGGAAATGACGAAGCCAAATGTTCAACTTCAACACATTTTTATTGTTTAGGTAAATACTGTTTTTTAATTTTCTCTATATAATTATGTTTTTCAGCCGTTATGTTATAACCGACAATCGCTCAACCCCTTTACGTGGATAATTTAATTACAATATTGGACACGTTAGTGGACATACCAATCGTTTCACTATTATGTTGTTGTTGTTCTTTGACACTTTTTGGACACCCAGTGGAAAACCTAAAAAGTCGCTTTTCACTTTGATTACTGGACCAATTGCTCTGAAATTTTCAGTGGTAAAGGATGAAGGATTTTTCTTTAAAAGGCTTTTACTTTCATTTATTTTAATTATTCCTGATAGCACTGTGGGATTCGTTTTTTTGACACGTATTGGATTTGTTTTTATGATGGCGCTCATCTTGTTGTTCTTTTGATCACATCATTGATGCTCGTCGAACGTCGGTAGTGTGTAACGAAATTTCTGCTTTACTAAGCGTAGGTACCGGTAGCGTCAAAGGTACGGTAAGGACTGCTTCGCTCTGATTAACGTGTTCATATATTTGAGCATTGCTCTCTTGTAGCTTCGAAAATTGCACTTTCACAACTCGCAAGTTGGCAAATACACTAATTTCCACAATTCCAATTTTTTTATTACAGGAAAATCTCCACAGTTCATTAACTGGACGCACCGGTTCAATGGCGCTCGTGATTGCGACAGCGGAAGTGACGAATGCGGAAGAATGATAATGACGACAAGCGGAAGTTTTATGATGCACAGAGATGCTTTAATTAGAAGTCCATTCCTGGTATGTGAAATTTATATACTTTATTTTCAAATAAATCTACTAAGTTTGCTTATGGTGTAGATATCTGCAAATTGGATTACACAATTGTCTAGAGAGAAGCTCAGAATATTTTAATTTTCAAAAACACATTTAAATTTGGATTTATTCGAATTTCGTTCCAGCTTAATCAATATCGACAAATTGCTAAAAAGTTTCCGATGTCTTATTCAATATTATTGTTTTAGATAGCAGCGATGTGGGTTATGGGATTTCTTGCCTTGTTCGGAAACGCAGTGGTTATCTGGCAGACACTGGCCGAACTACTCAAAGACTGGGATGTCGGCAAGCTAGGAAAATTAGCAAAATGCAACAGAATATTCGTGGCAAATCTTGCAGCTTCTGATTTTCTGATGGGAATTTACTTGCTGATTATTGGAATCCAGTCGTTTGTTAGTAATGGCAAGTAAGCTTAAAAATATATTATTTCAAAACGCATGAAAAACAAGTAGCCTAAACTTACAAGTTTACATAAAGATGAACTGAAAATACTATTTATCAGAGTATTCCACACGGTCAATTCAAACAAAAAAAATAAAATTTGCGTAAACAATCTATCTTAATGACGTAGATACTATGGAGTGTTCGGACACGCACTATTCTCCCCAAATATACCAAATTACCGCCCAATGAACGGAAAGTCAACCAACTACGGTTGGCAATATGCTCACCACGTACATATGCCCTGATACTAAGCAATATACTGAGAATTACAGCAAATTAAGATTGAGTTTTCCATTTGAGCATTTTCCTTTTTTCATTCAGATACTGCGTTACAGACCGAGCATGGAGATCCAGTTCTACATGTGTCCTTCTGGGTTTTATTAATAAATTGTCAAGTCAAACATCAGGTATTTTATTCGTTTATGTGATTTTAATTTGCGGAAAAATTAAGTAACGGTTTGAGTTTTTAGGACAAGTAAAAACAGATTCACATACAGTATTTAGTTTAGTATTCTTATACAGTTTAAAGTTAAATTAGTGGCATATCGCAGTTGTAATTTTTTTAGTGGACCTCAGAAAACGCGTAAAATTGAAACATCTGGGAAATGCTGGCTTGCCCTTTTTTATATAAAACGAGGAAATCTTATTAGTCTTCGAATACTCAAACGAGAACTTCATTCTGTGATATATTTCGACCTGAATGACGCTCGGCTGTCATTTTAATTTTGTTTTAGTTCTCATCCTTGTCCAGATGACGTCTTACAGATTATATGGAACTTTAAACCCGTTCAAGGTTGAAAGTTCAAAAGTCGTTCATAGTTCAGTGATCACATGCATTGCGACGTGGATAATCTCAATAATTGTGGCAACAATACCGTTGGTAAGATTCAGATTAAATGGTTAAGTAGAATCCGTGGCATCGAAAAACAGATATCCCTTGCTAGTTTCAATTATACTTAATGAAATTCTAAGATCTGAATATTTGAAGTATGATCAGTGATACAATTGCAAGTGTGTTCGTAATGGCTCATAATTTGTGCACGTATGCAATGTGAGCGAATACATTGATAAACGGCAATTAAAAACTGTCTCTTGATAGCGCGTGTTCTTACTTTTCAATATTTGGTTGGTCCACGCTCATTTTCGCTGATAAAACATATATTAAACAGACAGCGAACAGCGACATCTAGTTGAAATTATGCACGATACAAAAACAAACAATTCAAATATTACCGCGTGAGCGATATGGAGAAAAGTGCAATATAGGTGGCGCTAAAAAGTAGAATTGATAAATGATTCTTTTTATCATGATTTCCGTGAATTTCAAAAATCAAAAACGCGGAATGGCAGATAGTCAGATAAGTTGAACGGAATGATCTTGTTTGATTATTTCACGTAGATTGACACGTTTATGGACTACTTTACCGAAAGTTATTGGCTTCCCGTGACCTTCCTACCTTTTGATAAAGTCAGAGAAACCGGACTGAGAGAAGCGGTTATCAGATTAAATACTGTTACGTATAATTCAACTGGAAAATTACAAGGTTTGAAATAACATTTTTCAACATATTATTACTTGCTATATAACTAGTTTACATAACTACAGCAGTTTGAGGGCAAGCAAACGAGAAATATACGCATGTAACAGCGGCTTTGGAAATTTCTCAACGACAGTTACTCACGTGCACTCTAGATTCTACTGTTCCTCAATCCATATTTCACTCAATGACAATTATTTAGTTTTAATTTTTCCAACATACCATAATGAACTTTGGTGCTGCCGTAGTATGTGCACCAATATGGCGCACAACCTGAACATAGAATATGTACCAAGTAAGGGTTAGCAGGTTGTGCGCCATCTTGGTGCACATACTGTGGGAGCGCCAAAACTTTTTCCCAAGAACATCAATACCACAACCATTGTACCGAAACGGCGCACAAATTAGCTTCTTGTCAAATATCAAGCTTTTCTAACGATTTCGTGATATTGAACCTGACAATATTTTTCAGATTACTCATGGACCATAATGCTGAAATTTCTTAGAGATCTCGATATCGTCGGCATACACCCAGATTGGGAATTCAATAGAGTAATACCATTTGGTAAGTTATGATTTGCAATGGTCCAAACGCAAAATGCATAGATCACAGGAGATGGCAATGAGCCAGGACATTCTTCAATACATGACGAAATTGCTTGGTTCGCCATATAACTGTTGCGAGCAAATGCGTATATGGATGATACTCTTGCTTTGAGCCTTGAATGTGATTCACTAATTGCGAGAGCATCCATCATCTAAATTTTGCGAATAGATAGTTACGACATGAGAGTTACGAGAAAATTTAGTAAATGATCATTTTTTTGTAATTATATTTATATCACTTAATCTCATTCAAAAATTTAGGTTTTTACAACTGGTACGCCGTTTGCATTCCAAACTTATATCCCAAGCCGGGAGACACAGCTTGGTTATTCGCCACATTAATTGTCATCTACAATTTCTGTGCATTTTGTTACATCACAATTGCGTACATTGTGATATACAAAACGTCGTCCAGACCGGCTGTTAGAAAGAGTGTTCGGAAGCGATCAAAACAGTGGAGAAGGGATAACAAAGCTATGCAGAAAAAAATATTTTTATTGGGTAAGTATAATTTAAATTAATCTCATAGATCAGTGTTCATCAACGCTTTCTCTCATGCCTGCAAGTGGGCCCTGAGGAAACGCCATGATTTACAAATTGAGAAGAGAGAAAATATAAGCTTCAGATTGAACCAATGTTTGAAAAGTAAACTTGACAAGCTGATAACAGACACAAGTATTAAGATGGTCATTGACGCTTTCACTGTGTTGTTTATATAGTTTTATTATCAAAAAACATCTTTTTGATGCCTGGAATATTTTATTAAAATTTTCGTGGGCCTAAGATTCCTTTTGGCGCTGAAAATGAGCCACAAAAGAATAAAGGGTTAGAAAACCACTGGTATAGACGGCTTTAGCCAAAAAATTACTAAACCATTGTCAAATTTTTGTTAATATCTTTCAGTTGCCACCGACGTTGCTTGCTGGTTGCCAATATGCTTGATGTCTATTTTGAAATTGGCGGGAAAGATATCCGTAAATAGAGATGCAGTTGACATAACAGGTATTGCTTATTACTTATCGATTTTAATCGGTAAGTATGTTGATAGGTATTTGTCTGTCTGTCTGTTAGATGCACACGATTTCTCACGAAAACGAGATTGAGTCTGCTCCAGATTTTGCATGTGCATTTATCTTATCTCGGACCAGATTGATTTTGGGCGAATTATGTCATATAATTAGCGAGTTATTAATTAATTAGTGATGGGACACAAGGTGTCACTATGGAGTAAAAGCGCTGTTTTGGGATCCTCTAACTTTCGATCGATAAGTCTTCGGTCTCTGACTGATATTCTCGTTTATTGATCGACGAAGAAATAATACAATAATCCGATAAATCGTATATTTTGGGATCCTCTAACTTTCGATCGATGGGTCTTCGGTCTCTGACTGATATTCTCGTTTATTGATCGACGAAGAAATAATACAATAATCCGATAAATCGTATATTTCTAATAACAAAGACATTTGCTAGGCAAAAGTAAACATACTGTGATAGACACTAGAGCCAATTTTTTGTGAATAAGCGGCGTGGTGAATGGAAATAGACTTGGGCAGATAAACAATAAAACAAATTCAAATGTAAAAAAAAACTTTATATATAAAAAACGTACATAGGCATATCTTAAGTATAAATGGGAGTCCTGCACGAATACCTCATTAATATGGTGAGCAACGTTTGGCTTAAAATATTTAGAACTAAAATTGAATTTTAGGTTGTTAACTTGTAAATGTACCCCACAATCGCTTTAAATGGAAATATATTACTTTTAATTTTAAACTAAATTTTGATTCCAGGTGCGGTACTTTTACCGATCAACAGCGCAATCAACCCACTGATTTACTCAAGTGCGCTATGGCGAATCTTACAAGTTTTCAAAGAAAAGATATGTCCGCGTCCGAAGACGAGTCAATTCATGCATTTCCATAGCTTTCGCGAGAAGTCAGATTCCTTGTCGTCGGAAGTCAAAACTAACAATAGCGTCAAGAAAAAGAGAAATGTTAGATTTCTGCAACATGAGGATAATACAGGTATTCTATACAACTATCTGCGAGAATATTTGGCCGTTACAAAGCTTAGGATAGGAATTTCATAGTAATTACGGAGAAACGAAAACGTATAAGACAGCGAACCACAGCGTTTCGTCCGCTTTCATTCACTGTCGGGAATGAGATTGGTTAACCAGTTATTTGTTTATACAGATACAGGTATTTGAGGGTGGATGAAGCCGTAACCAACCAGCAATACATGAACCACCCTACAACAGCGAGGAATCCAGCAATCCGCTCGCACATAATTTACGTCATTTTGGGATTCGAACCTGCGCTGGGTTGCAATGCCAGGTGTGTTTTAACGCTCAGCACTATCCATCAATCGACAAGATTCAATTTATAAGCAGTGGTTCTTTGGAATACACGTTGTTTTGGGTTTATTGGTCGCCAGAAAAATTTGCCGATTAACTCAATATTAATCATATTACGACTTCTTTCATCGATAACACATAAAAATATAAATAAAGGGCAATGCAATTTCAGACCTTTCGTACGAAGAAGAGATTCCTTCATGCTCGGGTTCGCCGCTTGAAGATACCGATCGTGAAATAGAGTTACGTAAAGATGAAAGTACTGAAACACCACTTATATTATCAGATACAAGGACTTACGAATCGATGTATAAAGTTGACAAAAATGGTTTATCAATAAGTGATAATGATACAATAAATGATTTACGCTACGACGAAATAGACATTGTGAGAAGACAATCGTCACGTAAATTTAGCGGGAAATTTTGGAACGATCCAGTAACTTCGTCGAGTTTTGATATGGAAACCTCATTATAGCATATATAATTGATTTCGTAAAACATACAATTTATTTAAAATACTGTACAGTAATATACAAAAATTTTTTTTGAATACTATAACCTTTTTACGTAAATTTACAAATTTATAGAGCATTTTGCATGCAATATACACGGTATAATTTGTACAAACCATATATATCAATCTTTAAAACCTGACTGATGTGATGTACTGATTATGAGATGCCACCACTCGTACGACATGCCATCCTACAGCCCGGCGCCGAATTTTCTCATATATTTGAAATAGGCCCGCGAAAAAATATCGCTAAAATATTTAGGCCAGATTCAGGTCCTCGGTTTTTTTGACTCAGCGTTTTCTCATTGTAATTAGACCATTTTTATTCGTCTACGTAAGTATTTCGATTCATAGACGTATATTAGAAGGTTATTGTGTATTACGAAAAAAAACCCATCTGTTACAAAATTTCCGGATGGGACGTTACGGTACTCCAACTCTGTTTCGAGGTAATGATATTTGTTATCATTTTACGCCATCTCGTTGATTTACTACAAAACATTACCTTAATGCTAAGTGCCTAAGGTTACATCATGCCTTGAACTGTGTATAGCAAGTTACACAACGTCGACGCAAAAATCCTAGGGGAAATATTTAAAAGTCAATGAATGTCCGGGTGACTCCCCGGAAATAATTTAATTGCTGATGTATAAGTTGCCAGACTTTGTAAATTTAACGTATGAATATATATAATATTAAAAGATTACAGAGGCTTTATTATGCTATAATTTTACAACAATTACAAAAAGAGTTTTTATAAACCATCTCAATACAAAATCCTTCCCAATCTATCCTACCACTACCCACTATCGCAGAGGACTCGGATAGCGCCATGATACATGCGATTGCAAAATTTGACAACCGACGAGTTCATTCGAAACAATGGAATGACGAACTGTCTCACCGTGGGAGGCCAGTTCAGTAATGTTAGCTGCTCAGTTTCTTTCTTGAACAAAGTTAAAGAACGGTTAAATTATGAAAAGGCAAACAAGTTCAGACAAATGGTGGTCCTTAAAATTGTGTGTCCTAGTAGAGTGGGGAAGATTCAGATTTTGCTCTGGTACCGTACCGCCAGACTGGATTCCATGGCGGGTGCACGCCCGAGGGCGCTAGCGCTCCGCAAAAATGCACGCGAGCGAATTCAATTTTGCACGCCGAAAATTTGCAATTGCTCACCAATGTAAATCGGTTTAAATTGTTTTAAAATCAATAATCCAGTAATATAAAGATGCCAAAATATTATAACTCCACAATTGTCGACTAATACTAGCTTGCAAAATTTGGTCTGATCGAAAAATGCGAAGCAAAAAAGACCATATCGTGTTGAATGATAGGAATCCCGTGAGAATAGTTATGAGCGAAAAGATCGCCTCCGCACCAACGCTGGCCAGGTACGGCTCTGATTTAGCGTATTTTTCATACAATAATTTTACACGAATGTACTGAACAGTACCGGTATTTAAAGTCGAACAAACACTCTCAAAATTAGTGACGGAGTATAAAAATACTGTTTGGGGTCAATGGTCAAACGTCCAATTTTGCTCTAATTTGATGTATTTTTATTAATTCTACGTAAAAACACTCCCAAAATTAATGACAAAGTATGTCCATTTTTCTCTGGTTCAACGTATTTTTTATTCAATAATTTTACGCGGATGTACTGAACAGTACCGGTATCCAATATCGCACAAACACTCTCAAAATTAGCGACAAACTGTAGAAAAAATGTTTGGGGTTAAAGGTCAAACGTCCATTTTTGCTCTGATTCTACGTATTTTTTATCCGATACCGGACGGTGATGTATCGAGAGGTATCTAATGTCAAAGTCAGTTGCACGCGGGCGCAGTTGTTTTGCACGCCGTGAGCTATAATTGCAGAGCCATTATATAATGGCTCTGATAATTGCATGCCAGGGATTCTTATTTGCACGCGGGAATTTCTGATTGCACGCCCGATTTCTCGTTCAAAAAGGCCATGAAATCCAGACTGGCCGTACCGTACCGGTACCGGTACCGGTAGTACGGTACCGTACTCAATGTTTTCACACGCCTTCAGTTCAAACTTATAATATAGTTGGTACATACATACGAATCATTTCAAGTGTTGAACACATGGTGCTGATTTTTTTGTGTGAGATCGCATTAGGGCTACGATACCTGGGGGAATAGTGAGAGAGCAAGTTCTGCACTCTCTCTACAGCTCCATCCAGCTACTGCTGTACTGGTAAGGTACCGGTACCACCAGACCACCTACCGGTAGCATATGTATACTGGTGTACCGGTATAGGATAGGATGATTCACATATTTATCCCGGGGAGAAGAAAGCGATAAGACGGCTTAACCATATGACTAACCACGGCCTCTCGCCTGGTTACGGTACCGGTACCGTACGGTACCATTCCATGTTGGATACCGGTATGGGATTAGTTAGTTACCGGTACCGTATTTGTTTTTCGGAAGAATGGACTTGGTGGTCAGATGGTGGAGGAATCTGTAACCGACCAGCGATTATGTGAACCACCCTACAGCGGCGAGGAGTCCAGCAATCCTCTCGCACATAACCATCACCGCATGGAATTCAAACCTGCGAACCCACGCAGAGTACCGTAATCAGAGGTGCGGTGGCGAGCGTATTCCTAATGCTTAGCACGATGAGCCACACCGTAGCGTGTACAGGTGTATGGAACAGTTGCGTGGTGAACTATTTCGACAAGAGGTATAAATACATAAGATCTACGATACCGGTACTCAAAAGAACTATATAACCATTTCAAATGAGCCATAGTTAGTGTTGAGGTATTTTTTTCAACTTCAACCAATTATTTAAGGTACGGTACCTGGAAGATAATGTCTGAATGTACAATTTACAAAAAAAAAAAAAAAAAGAGGTGTGTTCACTCACCTAAAAACACAATATTAATTTGTAAACACTTACATAGCTTTAAAACCTTTGCCTTATTAATTACGCATTTTAGAGAATTCAAACCTTTTTTTTGCCTGGCGATGAGGTGTCTCTATTCCATAGCTTGATAGAAACAGCTACATTAATCAGTATTCATTGTTCAATTTGCAATACATAGAGATTTTAATATTATTTCACAAGATATTCATCACATATTGCTGGATACTGAAAGAAAGGATGTGAAGTGCACTCAGGAACAAAAATGAATTCAGCCAGTGAGTACATTATTTGATAATTACGTTTTTTACAATGCCATTGAGCAACTGATATGCTGTATTTATTTACAAATAAACTGCTAGTTCACAAAGCCTGACCATAGTATATTGTATTATAATTAGATGAAACCTATATAAATAAATGATAAAGTACAGTTACACATTTTTTTTCATTTATTCAGATGGACATGGAGAATACAGCTTTTAAAAAATGTCTTGAGGAATTTTTCAAACACGGTTTCCATTTTACGGGGCATAACGACAGAGTGAAATGCTACATGTGTGATAAAACAGTAGAAAATTGGGGAGATTTTTTCGAATCACTACAAATTACTAAATTGCACAGGTATTAGTTTTAGGTCCATGATTATTCTTTGAGCTATAGTAGTATGTGTACCAATATGGAGATGAATGATTCTGTTGGCCTATTTTACATCAAGTTGTATAAAGGGACCGAAATCTATGGCATTGCTTGGCTAACACAAATAGTCCAGAACTTCGTGATAGCACTAAGATAAGGAAAATCGGAATAAAATTATGGCCTAACCCTAACCTGGTACACGCACTAAAGGAATACCATAAAAAGCTTTTAAAAATACTAAGTTGTTCACATATCTATTTTAAATTGTGATATAGAAGAATCTGAAGTGCTATTTAAATTTTATAGAAAGTGCCTATGTGGCCCGATTATCATTGTTTCGGGGTATTAATATTTACTTTTTATAATACAATAGCGTAGATCATGAGCATTGTAATTTTTCATTTCAGAACAATCTGTCCTCTTGCAGATAGTAGTCACCTCCATATTTCACAAACAGAGCGAGAATGTCGTCAAACATCCAGAGGTGGGGTAGGTGAAAACAGATCTTGCGAGACAATAGTTCCAATACCTAGTCAAGCGGGGTCTGAGAGCTTTCGAACAAACATAATTCAATTGAGTCAAATCCAGTCAGTTACTGGAGAAACAGAAAAATCACTTGGGATCCCCAATCGTAAGTTATTATAATCTGAAAAAAGCCAATATAGCTCAAGTGTTTATTTTGAGACTTATCTAGTATTTTGTTTTCAGCAAGCCAACACCCAGAGAATCAACCGTCAATCAATCATAATTACATCAATAGTCAGATATACCATGGTATGTTATCGATAGTTATGCTTGTAGTTGTTGAAGAATTATAAATTTTTTAATTCTGAATGATTTATCCTAGGTGCTACATGTGGTAAAAACATCACCCAGGGACAATCTACTTTTCACTCCAGTGAAAAAGATTGCAAGAACAACTTAAGACAAGTTCTAGATTCTGGTAAAGCTGATATTGAAGGTATGCAAAGATAGATTTTTATTTAAAAACTGTTTAGTCTTGATAATTTGCTTCTTTGTCCGCAAGAACACTTCTGAATTGAATTGGATTATTGTAGCAAAAAAGTGAAGATTTTGGTAATGATGATGAGAGTGTGTGCATAGGTTACAATAAATTTTCCTTGCAGGGAGATCCAGACAGATCCCCACAGGAAACACAACACAACCTGGCGATGATCCAGATTCAGGCCTGGAATGCAATGATATCAGCCAGAGGTAATATTTAATAAGAAAGTATAATCTGAGTGTTACAATAAACCCAGCTGGCAAAATCATTTAATATCTTCTTATGGATTTCTCGTATCTCAAATTACAAAAAATACATTTTCAGTGGGTCTCAGTCTGACACGGACCAATCAGACATAAGTGAAGTGAGCAATGATTCTTTTTTATTCAGTGAAAGACAGGTAAAATGCATGAAATTGAGGAATTAAAATTGAAGGTTTTATTATTGTTCTAGCATTGGAATATTATTCTTTTTAGATTTCTTCATTTCGAGGTGGACAGGAAATTCAAGAACGACAATTAAAAGCAAAAAGAAGCAAATTTGTTGATGATGGTCATCAGGTAAATATATTTCTGTTTGAAGTTTCCATTTGAGATGCAAGCTACAGCATAGTTACGATCACCAACAATGATAAGAAATGGTTTTAAGTTATGAATTCGGTAATGACTAAAATATAATGAAGCAATTTTTTTTTATCTTACCAGGTTGTAAGAGAATATGATTACGGTGCTACCGCAACGAGCAAACATCAATATCATAAGAGATCAAAACTTTCAGGTATGACAAGTCTGAAACTTAATTTTCTTAATAAAGTAATTCTATGTTATAATACCCCTAATGTTAATAGCAAAAATGCGGACTCCTTGAGGCCTGTCAAATGTTGTCCCAAGAAGTTATTACAAGAAATTTAATGATGTAAAATTTATGCTGCATTTTCATTTATGCGTATCACTGTATTTTGAAATGCTATAATATAAGAAAATTAGCTCAAATGACTTGATAAAAATTGCTGGTTAAATTTTGCAGTGATAAATTTCAACTCCATGGCATAGGCCTCCATAGAAATTATTCAATAGACTTCTACGCATTTGATTCTCAGGTCTTGAAACAAGCTCCAGCTCAATTTTTCTCCAGTATCCAGAAAAAATGGCTGATACTTCACCCAAACACAAGCTTCTACTCAACGGACTAGATTTGCGGAAAGAGAAAGACAGGTGAATTTGATAAGAGTTTCTATTGTTGTGCCACACTCCGCCAGACTCATCTAATAGTGTTAGACAAGTAATCGGTAATTATTTTCAAGAGAGACCATTACGAGCAGTCCGAAACAATTTATATTTTCTTAGTGATCAAATTTGTGTATTCTCAAATTGACAGACTTAAATCCTTCAAAAAATGGCCTATAGAGTCAGAAGTTACTCCGGCATCATTGTCTCGAAATGGATTCTTTTTTCTCGGAGATATGGACAGAACGCAATGCTTTTGTTGTTGTGTAGTCCTGCGAGATTGGACAGCTGGGGATGACCCTGTGGTATGTTTAATTATTGCTGTTTAGTGAATCTCTGTAACTGGTGTAACCAGATGTAAATAAATCAACTCTACCACCTAGGTAGGACATGGTAGATAGAATAAATTCGAAAGTCTGGCATTTAACCCAATTTCCCAGTACTACAAAAATCCCTGGAGTAAAAGTCAATAAGACACATAACTAGTGAACTGACCTAACGACTGCCAGGATTTTTTTTCTCTATTTTACAAACTGAAATTTTATCTCATCCTATTTCCCTAATAATATTGACATGACATTTAATGGATAGTTTTGAATCTCATAATTTGCCTTGTCTTGACAATGACATAAACTGGGTGGATTTTTGGGTACTCCTGAAGTATGTGTACCACGTTAGGGTACAATTTTATTCCGATTTTCCTTATTTTACGAGTTCGAGCCTGTATGTATTATTAGCCAAGTGAATATATTCCTGCCCATAGATTTCAGTCCCTTTACACAACTTGATGTTAAAGGGGCGAACAATATTGGTACACAAACTTCTGGAGCGTCGATTTTTGTAATACAAATGAATATCGAAAACTGAAAAAAAACATAAGAGCATTCCCACTATGGGCCCCAATTAGAATAACACAATTTATTAGAATATCATCTGTGAACAATTTATTATTCTGGTAAATTTTCAGATTAAACATCAAAACAAATGTCCAGACTGTAGAATGGTGCAACAAAAAGAAAGTCAAAACATACCTAAAGTAAAACCTCGGAATCCTGACATGGTGAATGAATATGACAGATTAAAAACTTTTGATCTATGGCCAAAGAGTATTGCAGTGACCCCTACTGAACTAGCCAACGCTGGATTTTATTTTCTTGGTAAGTTGTCTCTAATTTTATTGAATATTACCTTAATGAAGATGTGTTTCTGCAAACTCCCCCTTTTTCTAGGTTGTGATGATCGGGTAAAATGTTTCTACTGTAACGGAGTATTCCAAAACTGGGAAGTTGGTGATATACCATGGTGTGAGCATGCAAAATGGTTTCCGAACTGTGAATTTCTCATACAAACCAAAGGACAAAAATTTGTCAATGAGTTTAAAGTAGAAAGGGCTCAGACGACAGGTGGTCCAGGGCCACTGGATAAGCAAAAAGAGAAACCAGAGAAAAAGATCCTGGGTGAAAGTGTTGCAGTAAGTTCTTCTTATATGTTGTTTATTAGCAGTGCCTGGAATGTATAAAAGGAATTAGAGCGAAAGGCATGAACGAGCATCGCATAAAAACATGTAAGCTTTAGATTCATGGTTAATGGTTAAAAATGACTGCCAAAGCCGTTAGGTACATCTATTTATGAGCAGGTTGTAGTCGTCTTTTGGCATAATGGCAGTGCCTTGAATTCTAGTAAATAAATGCTAATTGATGGGGAAGATGTTAGCGGTTCAAGTCGTAATGGCAAAACAGTTTCATAACAATTACTTTCTTTGTCATTTTAAGATGGAATTGGTTGAGCTACAAAAAGAAAGGATGTGTAAAATATGTTCCAAAGAATCAGCAGACATGAAATTTATGCCCTGCATGCACATATGCTGTTGTCGCTTCTGCACACCAGTCAGAATGTGTCCGTTATGTGGATCTGTGATTCAGAGTGCGGTTTTGTGCATGTGCAAATAACACTACAGAAGTCTGAGACGTAAGTTAAAATTAATTTTCACATTATTTGAAATAATTTTGCCAAGAGATTCCCCAATAAGCCGAATGGCAAATATACTATCAACTCGAAGTAAAACAATGCCCTAGAATAATGCAGAGAATGACAGCAATCCATTGCTTTTTTATTCAAAAGCTTAAATTGGGCATGACATCTATAAGAAAGTAGTCCACTACATGTAGCAAAGGTTTTGCGAAAACATTGATCCTTTTTTATCAGATCACCACCTTGAAAATTGTCCGGGCATGGCTGCAGAAAATTTAGAAAGTCAACAATGAAAGACTGAACAAGAACAAGTGATTAGACGTGGCTGCTGCAGATGACTTTTTGATGAGTGTGATGAGTGATCTACAGGCTTCTATACAAACTTTTTTGCACAGTTGTCAATTTTACCTATCTGTATTTATTATATTTTAGTATTTTATTGATTAATCTATTTATTCTCTTTGCCCGGTTTGAACTTTTTTTACCTATGTTAGTGATTTGATATAAACAGAGAACTGGAACATTGGGCACTAGACCTAAAAATCCTAATCAAGGTAGATTCGTCGCCACGGCTATACCCATATCATTTGTTCTTCGGGTTTAAAAGCCCATCCAGAAATTCAGAATTATTATTAACATTTTTATATATTATCAAACAAAACTTGGCACAAATTTATTTTGTTAGGAGATGATGATAAATAAGATGGCTCAATTATATGGCTATGGCGCCCTCACTATTTGGTTTGAAATGCCCGGGACCTGATGGTAGAGGAAGCCGTAACCGACCAGTGGTCTCTATCTAAAGTTTACTTTTACCCCCAATTGAGTATAAATAAGAAGGTCCTTTTTTTTATGAATTATATTTTAGGTCCCAAATTTCAGCGAATAGCACGTTGCATATACTGGAATTATGGGAAAAGATAGATTAAAAAAAAAGTATGAGCTACATACATACGTATCTGACGATAAATTAAACCATGATAACAAAAAATTGAATCATCGTTGATAATCTGAAATTAGTAAGAGCATCCCAAATGACAAAAAGAAGTTACTAAAACAAACAAATGCTTGTCTCTGCTCTCATATTGCAGATCGCTGCCTAATGTTGTTGCCCTTCCAGTTTTATGGTATGTCGTATAGATCATTTCATTTAATTTCAAGTGCAGTCACGTTGGATGTCAATAAACACATCTTCCTATGTTCTTCGAACACTTGTCAAAAATAATTTTGTTGAAATTATTTTATTTAAAAAACAAGGGTGCAAAAATTTTGGAGTTGGGTCCGTCCGAAACTTTGGTAGGCCTACTCCCGTGGTATGTGAACAGGCGCGCAGCCAGGATTTTCAAAAGCGGGGGGGGGTACATAATCATAAATTCCCATTGCGGTCTGTAACAGTCTTCGCATTACGCGCTCGTTAAAGGGACGTCTTTTAAGCGTATAATGATTATTCTTGTCGCGTGAAATATTCAATCTCTGACAACTACAAAATTCTAAACTGTCTTTATATATTATTAGTTTAATTGTGTCTAACGTAACTCGCGGTTGCTTCTTCTTACGTCAAAATTTAAAACATTAGTTCTCTGAAATGCCACGGCGATCGGCGATTTAATTTTAATACGTATTTTTGGAATCTTGCCAACTCGTTATGGCCGTTTGAAAAATCTCAATAACTGATATAAAATCACGAAAAATTTCATTTCGTACACTGAAAATGCATATCAAGTATATCGTTAAATCAAAAATACATATTCATCGCCGCGATTACGCCATTTGTTATTAAAAGAGCCGACGTTTACAACGAAAAATGATTTTTCTTGAAGTAATCAATTCGTCACCGATAAGGCCATATTTAAAAGTGTTTCGATTTTAGTGACGGCATGTTCCTAAACGGTGACCAAACATAATGTGCGCCGTAGGCACACGAAATTTTGTGATTTTGCGTCTAGAAAAGCGTTTTTAGACTATCGCGGGACTCAACAAAACTTATATTGTTTACGGTTTTATTTTATAATGCCGCTTTTCAATCGAATTTAGATCGCGGTTTTACTCCTTCTTTGGTCTTTAGAACCTCGCCACCGATGAACGTATAATAACTCACGAATTCACAATTCCGTGCAAAGTACATAAATAAAATAATTATCATGTTTATCGTGGCACAAATTTATGATTTAGAAAGAATAAAAACCGACGTAAGGGCGTTTACGGCCTAAATAACACGCTGATGAAAACATGGGTGATTTTATCAGAAGGCGATTGCACGCTTTTTCAGTTTTCACATTTCCGTGCGGGTACAAAAATAAAATAGTTACCATTGTTCCCGCGGCACAAATTTGTGATTTAAAGAGAATAAACACCAATGTAAAGGGCGTTAGTTCACGGCATAAATAACATGCCACGTTGATGAAAATGAACGGCGATTTGGCAGAAGGCAGTTGCACGTGTTATCGGCAACTTTTTCACTTTTCGGAAAATCCAAAAGGGGGGGTTTCGACCCCGACCCCCCCCCCCCCCCTGGCTGCGCCACTGTATGTGAACCAAGATGGTGTGCACCAGGTTAGGGTTAGGCCATAATTCCAGGTAGCCTACACTCATATTGCAGGTGACTGCCTAATGTACTTCAAACTAGAGGTGAATTTATGGTCTGCCGTAGCGCGTTATCCTCCAAATATGGCAAACTAGGTTACAAAAATAAAGTGCAGTCACGTTGAATGCCAATAAACACGTATTCAAAGAGAATTTTGTTTATTTTGTTTAAAAAACAAGGGTTGCAAAATTTTGGAGTTGGGTTCAAAACTTTGATACTCCCCGTAGTATGTGAACCAAGATGGTTGACACCGGAACGTAGTATGTGTACCAGGTTACGTAGGGTCAGGCCATAATTTCAGGTACAAATACTACGACAGTCCCAAACTCTAATAAAACTAGAATTGAGGGAAATTGGAATAAAATTATGGCAACCCTACACATACTATGTTCCGGTGTCCGCCATCTTGGTTCATATATTACAGGAGCTGAAACTTTCACATGTGCCATTTACAGTAAGGTTGCTCAGCGCATAATATATACACACATGCTTTCGTTTGGATACCTCACACTTGCCCCTGTTTTTTATTACATGTCAAAAACTGTAATTATTTTAATACATTTCGTTTATAGAAAGTTGTGAATTTTTATTTAACATGCAAAAGCTGGGTTTGAAGCAGACAACAGGAATTATCGGATCATCTTCTTCGCAAGTGCAGTGTCCATCTGAAAACAATATTTGATACTTAATTTCAGAATTGCATCAAATATTTTGAAATTCATACAAGTATAATAGTAATTTTTGTATTTACACCCCAGTGATAGGAAAACGTTTTTGTTAGGCTATATATTTTAGATATGTGCAACTGACAATCTATCTGACTACATTTTTTGCATATAATCCTCCCATGCATAGAGTGATCAGCAGTTATCGTAAGCGGGCAACGAGTCTTTGGACAGTCACAACATAACTCTCCATTAATCTCAATATATTTTTGTACCGTAAGTAACGTAACTTATCATTTTCCTTGTTACCGTACCTACCTTCTGACATTTTCCTTGCTCCCACTCGCTTGCTCCTTCGAATTTATTTATGAGCCTGATGTTTATCACCTGAGGCTATGACTGTAGTAATATAGATGTCACTGGTGCTGGCTTTTCTGTCAAGGACTGTTCTTCATTGTTGTGTATAAATACTCTTTTGCTGATTATCTCTCATTATAGCCTACTGTGAATAAGGCATCATAGATGTTGCCACCTCAGCTTAGTGTACACAATTCGCATTGCTTATCTTAATGGACATATAATATACCTTCATTGACAAGCTCTTGTCAACACCCATGCCATCTCTGCTTCAATAGAACCCTATTCACATTTTGTAACCAGGCTTTGCATAATATGAAAATTATTTGAACAATCCCAACGCTTTCTAACATGATGGCAATCGGCACTGGGAGGAACATCTAATCTCATTTTGCCCGAAATTTTCTTTCCAATAAATCGTCCATATATCATTTATAATTCATAGTTTGATATTTATTCCCAAATAGTAAATAAGCCCTAAACTTCAAGGAACAAGTTGCAAAGATACATGCATGCCTATACATAGTGTTATCACTATCAATACACTTATCTTGTCAATTCTGACTCAAAATAATACCATTACGATAATCTATAGCATCTAGCCTATCTTATCTAATTTGCTCAATACTGCTATAGCTTACCGAAATATTGCATCTCTCTCGATTCTTCTAAAATCTTTTTCTTTTATCTAAATCTCTAACTTGGATTTCACTACAAATTTGTAAAACGAAAAACTTGCGCTGCTGGTTCGTAAATCAACTACCTCAGCAAGTGGTAGTTACTTAGCAATTCTGTTACTTAGTTGAATAAATCATGGTTTATTTTTAAAAAGGAATAGGAAGGTAGTTTCTGTGAAATATTAGCTGTAATATTCTGTAATAACTTTGACTAAGCTATATACTTTGTTCTAGTAAATCTGGCAACTAAAAGCAGTTCTAGATCATAGGACAGGTCACAGCATAGCACACTTGTCAGCCTTGACCCCCAGCTCACCAATTTAGCTTAAAACTGTTACATGACTATGTAAAAGAATTAGGAATAGTTGCCTACTAAGCCTTATGGAAGTGGACAACAATCCCTAAATTAACACAAAAAAATTTCCTGCAGTAGGTTTGCCAGGGGTCTCAATTGGGAAGAAAAAGTAACTCTAAAACAAATCTTTAATCCCCTACCCCGCTTAAAAAAAATATAAAATAACTCACAATTCATGCATGCTGATACGCTGTCAATCAAATCTTCAATTCCAGTAAATCCCTATGTTTTAAGTATTGATGCGGTATATCCAAAAATTTATCCAATTGGTGTATAATTGGTCTGATATATACTGTTACGTTATTTCTCAAGCATTATTAGAGTAGCTTTTGTCAAATTTCAGTCACATGGCTTTGTATATCCCATTTTTTTTATAATCGATCGGATATAATTCACATGGTGAGCTGAGCGAGTGGCGTACCTCTAATCGCAGATAACTTCATTCCTTCATTCATGTTGTCATTAGTCGCATGCCTTTGTGTGTTCCATATATGCTTGGAAGGTGACAGTGAGAGCTTAACCATAGGCAATTAAATGAGCTTCATAGGGGGACTGGTACTTGAAGTTAATATTGATATTACTTGAGTATCATTACTATTACTGGATACTCCTGTAGTGTTTGTACCATGTTTTATTGGCACAATTTTATTTAGATTTTCCTTATTTTAGTTGTATTATGAGTTCGGGGACTGTCTGTGTTAGTCAAGTGAATATCCCCCTGCCCATAGGTTTCAGTCCCTTTACACAACTCAATGTAAAGTAGGCGAACAAAATTAGTTACCTCCATATTGGAACACACAGCGCCATTCATTGGAAATTGAGTGAGGTGAAAATTCTACCCTAACTCGATAATGTTCTTTTTTCATTTGATGCAAATGCACAATTTCTAGATGTCCCATGTTTCGTTAATACGTAGAATTTTCTCCGAACAGAGACTGAAACCACAGCTGATAGAGAATAGCCAAGGGCAGCTAAGCAAGGTCATAACTCAAGCTCAAACATTTATCTTCGCTGTCGTTTATATGTACGATCTTTAGATTTATCCCGCTTCCTTCTCTTTCTGTGATGTTTGTCCTCTTCATAGTCTTTTCTGTTGAAGTCTCTGGATCTGGATTGTTTAGGTTCATATGATTTGCGCATTTGCTCTCTAGCACCACCTTGGGACTGTTGGCCATTATAATCCATGGTGGCATGAGCGTGTGTTTGCTCATTTTTTTGGACTTGCTGCGATGAGATATGAGATTCGTTTCTGAAAAATATTATTTTTTAAACGATTGGAGAATCACATGTCATAGAATTGACAACAGTCAGTTTTTGAAAGTCTTGAATTTGATATTTGGACAACTTTTGATGTGATTTTATGCCTCAGTCCAGACAGGACATATATAGGTACGGTAACTACTTTCTCGAAAGGACCAGAATCTTTCAAGACCAGCATTGCCTACATGTTACATGTTTCCACATTTCCTACCCATATTATCACCCCCTGGAGGAGGTATACTGTATCTTCATTGTATTTCTGGCAACTAGTATTTATGAATTTATATTTACCTAGTATTTATAAAGGCCTGAGTATGGCTGATGGTGACCAAACCAGACCAGCTGTGAATTGACTGAGTGATTTTGGTCAGGGCATTCACTAATTACACAGGGTGACCATAAAGTCCCTTTACAATTTCAATTTTGTTATGAAGTCAGTTCTCAATATATCTTAACCAGGTTTGTTGTTTTTTAATCAGTAATTTAAGTATTTTTGTCAGAGCTAAAACAATATATGGTATCGATAAATTACCTTTACAATTTAAAAAAAAACTTTATGGACACCCTATATTTTAAGAAGTTAACAATTTGAAGCCGAGATGAAAATTTGCCAACACAGTTAAACCTAATGCTTAATCTGCGAGGCCAACCACAATAAATGTCTCACTGATCAATACTCACATAGGCGTCCCAGAAGTCGACTCTGAAGATTTCTTTGGATTCCAAAGCTTTGTCAATTCTTCCATATGAACAGCCAGGACCCCTCGAATTATCTGTTGAAAATAAGTCATCGTCATGCCATGGCTCATACAAAGAAATATCATAAATCACACTATTTTACAAGTCATGTTCAGACTTAATTTCGACCACACCAAACTTTTTTCTGGGATATAGGGGGCAGGTATGGCCAAAATCGAATAATCTACTATTATTAACAATTACTGTTTATCTTAAGTTTTCGAATCCTAAAAATTACCTGGAGAAATCAACTCAACAGCCTTAGCCTTACCCAAGGCCCCCTGGGTGACCAAAGATCGGTTCTCTGTGGGCCACAAGCAACAGCCTCTACTGGGGTCTGGGTATTATGCGGGATGACAATATTGATTTAAATTACATGGATTGTTAATTGTCTAATTCTATGACTAAATTTCATTTCTTGTTTTACACTTGTTGACTTTTTATTATTAACCGATGGTAATTCAAAAGGCAAAACTAGATATTTATCTTAGAAGAGCACAAGTGTTTACACCAGTGGTTCTAACCTTTTATGGCTCCTGGCCCCTTTCCGTAGGCTTTTAAAACTTATGGGCCCCCTATTTATCATTCCAGTGTTATTTTAATGGTTAATTCCAAATCCCATTATGATCAAATAATTCATGTACAACAAAGTGGACACACCCTGTATAATAACCTTATCAAGCAGTGAAACTTGGAAAGTTTCTTGATAGGTGAAAGGAAAATCAGCCCTGTGCCCCCTCTCCAACTGCTATGTGGCCCCTTGAGAAGCCACGGGCCCACGATAAAGAATCGCCGCCTACTTAGACTCTTTAGAAGGGGGGCACAAATCATGAAAGTTTTAGAACCACTGGTTTTACCTCTGTTTGTGATCGTTTCGTGATGTGAACATTCTTAGCCCGATAAGATTGCCTTCTCTTCTTCATGTCTCTCATTTTCTGTAGCAATTCTGTCTCACTAAGGTTATCAGGATTCTCTGTGGAAAAAATTTGTGGAAAATTATTATAGAAAAAGTCGATACTAGATCAACGGTCTGAACCGCCTTTTGAAATGTGTGAAAAAAAACGTTTCTCGGTATCATACATGGACCCTCAATGTTTTTTTAGACCTTGAACCCCCTATTGAAACCCACGTTTTCTGACCTAACCCATTAGTTGTTACAGTCTAACTTGGCAATTAGAAATTTCAGAACGCCTCCCCCCTGAAAAATCCTTGATTTCACCCCCTGAACACAGTTTACACATCTCAGAGCCCAGTCCCATGTCCATCCAGGCTTTCCAAAAACTGTAGCTCCTTACATATTGCTAAATATTTGTGGATGCTTGTATAGGGCCTCGTTTGAAGTGAAAGGTGTTAAATAGCGCTACATAAATATATAAACTTTTCAGAGTTGGGACCCACTATTTATTACCACAGCTTATGGCGACCAATTTAACTTTTTATGACATAACACAAAACACAGCAATGGCTAATCATCGTAAAACTACCGTGTTTCCTTGAAAATAGAACCTAGCCTGAAAATAAGACCAAATTTAATATCTAAAATGATTTTAATAAAACCCTACCCTTGAAATAAATTCAAAATGTGTGGGAGAGGAAAGGTTCAATGACCTGAGGTAAGGTGAAGATCACACCACTATTCAAGATTGTGTGATATTACAAGTATGATATTTGTCACTTGATTTTTGTATAGGACATACAAATAAAAACAATGGATGTCGGTTTTTATATAATGTTTATTAAAAAATCTCGTGGTTTTCTACAATGTAATTTTATTTTTGATAAATGAACACAACACGGCAAGAAGTGCTGTACAGTGTACAAAACTGGAAACTGCTATGCGTATAAAAGCCACATAGTCATTCTTTGTGTAGCAAATTTTTGTTCCTTTGAGAAGATCGTAAAAAGGAAACTTTCACAGATTAGAATTTAAATTCAATTTAATTCCTTTTGTTTTTTTGAAGATTTATGTATTCGAGTCGCCACCGATCCTAATAATCAGTATAATTAATCAAAACTTTCTACATCTTTTCACGACTCACTAAGATTCTTTTTGCGACCCACCAGTGGGTCGCGACCCATAGTTTGGAAACCGCTGATAAATCTTTCTGGTATAACTTTTTTGCTGCTTCAGATTTAACATCTCCCAGGATGTAAGGTGCCATGACGGTCTTTGCAAAAATAATATCTCCTCACATGCTGTTACATATCAGTGTATGCTCGTATAAGGCCTTATTCAAAACAAAAGGCATGAGTGCTGTATAGAAAATATCTAGGCCTACCTTTCTGGTATAACTTTTCTGCTGCTTTGGCTTCAAGATCTGCATAGAGTGCTTTATCTGGCATTATTTTTTCACCGGAATAGCATTGTGCTACTGCAGCATCATAGACAGCTCGTCGTTGATCAGAATTGAGCAATGATTTGTAGCGTTCGTCAGTTCGTATCGGACCAATGCCTGGTACTACACGGGATATTATATCATCTGCAACAAAAGAATAATTTAACATTTTATAGGTCTTTGTTGTAATATGGAAAGGCCACTGATTTTTAAACAATATAACACCAGGTACGTCTAAAACAAAATTTAAAGCTCTATATTTTATTCAACACTTGGAAAAAATCGTTATTCCGTTTTGGACATCCCTGGAGTCCAAAGGCCAGAGGTTCCGAAATTTTTTGTCTGTCTGGCGCTCAATTATTAGGAAAAAAGTTACAGGAACAGCGCAACTACACGAAAAAAATCCTGCATTTTAATAAAACTCAATTTTGTGATTGTTAATAATCTGTACTTCACGCATTTTTAGGTTTGTAAACATGTAGGCCTTAAGAATAAAGGGAAAAGATCAATTATTCTTCCTCATCTCTGCCTGATTTTCTTCCAAAATGCTAAAAAAATAACTCATGTTCGCTGATCTCGGTTCAGCAGATAAATTAACCGCAGCTCGTGAATTTGCAGCAAGTAGTGCCTATTTCTTTTTTTTTGTAACAGCACCTTTTGGTAACCGCTGCAATAGGCTCTGAACCTTTTAATGGATATAAATATTATGATAACATGACATTCCAGAATTCGGTAAAATTAGACATTAATAGATAATTGAAATGGTCAATTTTCAAGAAGACAAATATTTAGCTGTTTTTATTCAGATTCATATTCGTTTAAAGCCATTAAGCTTATATCGCCAAATGATTCAAAACTCAAATGGTAGAAGACTAGTCCTATCAACCTGAACAATGAGACTCTTCCATTAGTAAAAACAAAAAAGAGTTACACTATTTCTCTTAAGTTTGATGGGCCATATTAAATCGTTAAACAGGCTGTGATTGGCCCTCGGGGTAGTGTAAACCAGGCCTAAGAACCTAAAAAAATATTCAATACCAGAGTTGATCAGTGCACGGTTGATCTCGATTTTTGTTCTTTCTTCTTGTTCATGTATCTCCACAATCTCCTCTTTAGTGTATCCCAAATTTCTCCATTTGCAAGATTTCAAATGACGGTCTAAGCTGTGAATATAAAAGATGAAATAAGTTATCGAATCTGATAGATTTATGTTAGTTTCAAATCGATTCTAATATTAGATTTGGATTTGATACACCAAATATTATTTTTCAATCATTTCCAAAAGATCTGCATGATATTACACACTATTTTATATAAACTATACATAACTTAAAGTGTACGGTAATTGTGTTTTTTCACTTATATTCTGTCTCAAGTTGTGTCGCATGTCAATTTCAAAGTTAGGAACCAGTCTTGGCGATCTGGTAAATTTATTAGGATAGGATTCACATATTTACACCGGGGGAGAGGAAGGACGATGAGACGGATTAACCATATGGCGAACCACGACCTCTCGTCCGGTTACCAGTCCATGTCGAGTATGGGATTAGTTTTAGTTATTTGTTTTTCGGAAGCATGGACTTGATGGTGGAGGAAGCCATAACCGACCAGCGGTTACGTGAACCACCTTACAACGGCAAGTAGTCCAGCAATCCTCTCGCACATAACTACCCCGCATCATGGGATTCAAACCTGCGAACCCACGCAGGGTAATCAGAGATATGGTGGCAAGCATATTCCTAACGCTTAGCACGATGAGCCACACCGCCGCAGTACAATTTGACTAAGCCACAAGCCGGGTTGGGCAGCTGGTTCGAAATCAGTGGTTTCAACTCTGGCGCTACAGCGAATTCAAACTGAGGCCTCAGCTATGGAGATCAGTACAATGCAGCCCTCAAGAATAGCCCTCACATTGAAAGCCATCAATGAGTGTAAACCCCTCCTTTACGAGTCAGTCTGGGCCTCCATATTGGCAATCCGGCACTGTGCAATAATCTAAAATTAAGCGCTATTCAAAAATATCGCCATTGGATTCAAATTTGACTGTAGCATTCGATAGTTTTTAACAAAAATCGCAACTTTGGTCACATAAACCAAATTAATAATATTCTATAAATCAGAATGGTAAAATATTGAACATAATTCAAATCCTGTTATAGGCCCAGTCTCTATGATTCATTAGGTGCATATGCCGAATCAGCAAGTGTGCATGTTTTGGTCTGATAGGGAATTACTATGTACATGAGGATTACTGGACTTCTTGCGGTTGTTGGTTGTAGAATGGTTCATGTAACCGCTTGTCAGTTACAGCTTCCACCACCATCAAGTCCATGAATATAAAACAAAAAACTGATTACCGGTAACTATTCTCATAACTGACACAGTTAAACGGGCGAGAGGCTGTGTTTCCCCATACAGCTATACCAAGGATAGGATAGGATTTACATATTTATCCCGGAGGAGAGGAAAGTCGATAAGACGGCTTATCCATATGGCGAACCACGGCCTCTCGTTCGGTTACCATTCCAAGTCGGGTATGGGATTAGTTATATTGCAGTATTGTTTTTTTTCGGAAGCATGGACTTGGTGGTGGAGGAAGCCGTAACCGACCAGCGGTTACGTGAACCACCCAACGACGGCGAGGAGTCCAGCAATCCTTTCGCACATAACCATCCCTGCATGGGATTCGAACCTGCGAACCCACGCAGAGTAATTAGAGGTGCAGTGGCGAGCGTATTCCTAACGCTTAGCCCGTTGAGCCACATCGCCGCCGCGGATAAATCAGAAAATTTCTCACCATTTTGCAGGCATTTGATGACCCTCATCACAAGGGCATACAACCGTAGATGTTTGTTCATCCGTCTGTGATTTCCATCCAATTGCTGATTCAAATGTTGACAAATCTTTGGCAACGTCATTTAAATAGGCTTCAATGCCAGCATCCATTTGTCATTACCAGCAGAAATAGCTCAGAAAAAATCTGGAAATAGATATGCAAGATAAACTCAGTAACACAGTTCTTCGATTACAAGATATACCGGTACCGGTACTAACATCCGGTTAAACAAAACAGAAACTCAATTTGAAACGAAGGGCGTCCGACGGTAACGGCAGATCGCACCATGCTTTCCTAATCATTCGCCGCTACCATATAATAAGACTATAAGTGACTTTGGCCGCAACATGCATCGGTGGGCACATGACCAAAATATAATTTTATTTATAAACTCTCAAACGCTACGATGAGTTTTTTTTTCGATAAGACGGATTATTTTTGTTCGAAAAATTCAAAAGTGACGATTTGAGATTGCGCTTTCTTTTAATTGGTTGAGCAGTGCCGGTTTATTGATTATTTACGGTATCGGCATCTAGGGTGTCGCTGCTCGATAACCAGTACCGGTACAGGATTTTCAGCGTTTCCCTCTTTTATTCTATTCCGTATATATACTTTACGTATTTTTAAGATTGGTGGATAAATAAATTCCTGATTACGGTTTGGATATGATGTACACAGTGGTGGGATTCAGCCAGTTCTATAGAACCGTCTCACGGAATTTTATGAGATTAGCGAACCGGTTTGCATTACTGGTTACTGTCAATGTTCTCTTTGTAACAGAACCGGCTGAAAAATAGGACCTTTGTGAAGGAACCATCTGAAAAAAAATTTAAAATTCCACCACTGGATGTACATATTTATTCCGGGGGGCAAGAAAAATCGATAAGAAGGCTTACGGTATGTTGGATATGGGATTGGTTACCCAGTTATGTATGTATGTATGTTTATTCGTCTCGTAAAAGCAAAAACACAGGAGTTAGTGAAAATCAACATTGAAGACAGGATGTATACACAAGACCATACTGGCCTAAAACACATGAACGTGTGGCATACACCCCTTATGATAAGCATATAATGCAATAAATCGAATAAGTATAATATGGTCCTTCATACAGACAGTTGTGCGAGGAGGGTGGATTAGGCAACATGGGTAATGGTGGAGTATGCCAAACCGTTTGTACAAAGCAGTTGGTAGGACAAGACAACATCAATAAATAGAGACAATACAACATGAAATATAATATGTATACATAATATTAAAATTTGGACAAATAGCACCCTCGAGTAATGATACCACATACTATAAATGGGAGAAATAATCAAGTTTATAGGAGAATGTGCATATATGGTATGTACCACTCAAGGGTGAGTGTCTTAAGTAATATATGGCTGATCTAGCAAAAATGCGTTCCTTCCAGGCTTGGGGAAATGCAATGTAATAAGTTCTGTCAAGTTATACGCTTTTTCAAGGTACTTTGTATTTTATAGTTCTGTTTACCGCTAAAAAAGATCAGGATTCAAAAAAGAGATATATTCAGGTTGCATTTCCATAAAACTATCATGATCGCATTTCAGCCAGACAATTCGAAGATATAAAAGTATATTGAAATAGAGAACAATAAATTGCCCAAAAAATTCGAAAATGTAGCTAGTTTGATGATGATATTATCCTTTGATGAACTTATTGTTATTGTACCAGCCATCAAAATGCAAGAGTGCAGTTATTTGTCTTGTTAATAGATGTTTAGTAACTTAATACTAAGTATTGCCATCATAAAACCCCCACAATGCGTGCTTCAGCTGCGAGTAAGCAATACATGTTTCTATGCTTACTGACTTGAAATGTTCGAGTTGATTTTATTTCTTTTATTATCTTTTCCCGAGCTTATTTTTCTTAGAATTCTGATGAGAGGACATCAAGCGTGGTCTGCTACTGGATTAGTGACACCGACATTCCGTGAACATTATGATCTAACAACAAGCATTTGAATATGATGTACTGCAAAAGTATGCCAAAATAATTTGAGAACAAAAGCCGTTAAGAAACTATGTGAATCTGGGGATTTCTTTTCAACATACCATTTCTGTCAGACTTTTGAAGCACTATAATTAAGACTTACAAAATATTTGAGTTAGTTGGGAAAAAATGTCAAATTGTCAATGTCAAGCTCAGGTCGACGCAGTTACCACTGTCGTGCTTCTGACTAACATGACGCTATATGGACCTTTCCCCGACCTTTAACCCCCAGAAAATTCTTCCTATAATTTACCATTACAAAATTTTCGCGGCTATTTTAGGAGTGCTTTTGCATGTTGGCGTCTGTAAAATGGGATATATGTTTCAAACCATCATTGTGATTTATTGCATACAACAATCTGTTTTTTAAAGGTCCCGGTAAAGAATTTCAGGCTAGTCTATCACAGCTATTTCTACACTAATTTTTCTTACTGCAATTAAATTAAAACTCCTAGGAAGACAGAGTGATCATTGAATTATCTGATTTATATTTAATTTCCAAAACACAACTGAAAACTAACGAATAGAGTTCAAAAACGCGAAAATGAAGTAATGTTTACAACCACGCTTGAAAATCTGTCTGAGTGAAAAAAGTGTCTGAGCGGATGCGAAAAGGGGCCATTGTTACGTCACTTTTTGCATTTTGCTGATTGGCCAATGTCAAGAAGTAAACAAGGAAGTCGATGCTCGGGGAAAGGTCCATTGCGGAAATATATCAATAAAGTCATTTGAAATAAGGCATTATCAGTAAAAAAATATTCTAAAATTTTGAACGGGGTGACCAATAAAACTCATAAATTTCATAATAACTTGAATGAAACATCAATATTTTGTCTTGTTGTTGGAAATTGTATTTTACAATTTGGAACACAGATGGCGCCAGAGCACAGCCCCTCGGTCTTATGCAGTTTAGCTAGCTTAAGCCGCGGTTCGCAGCGATGCGGCTTGGGATGTTTTGGTCTGATTTGGTGAGTTTCAGGCTGTTCGCCCCAGTTTATTTGTTGTAGGTTGTTCAATGAGATACAGGGCCTGTAAGCCTTTATGAAATTTATTTTTAATTAGGTTAGAATAAACCTTAAAACATAAATGGCAATTTCTTTTGAAATGGTTTTATCACAAATTGAAACTTTCAAGAGAATGCATTTGGAAAATAATCCAACCTCTGGAGATTGTTCGTTTCGGTAAATCTCAACAAACAGACGTTCCACATTTTGTAGGACAACAAAGCTTCTTGTCGTCATTGCAATCAGCATTGACTGCACAGTTTGTGTCAGGACATGAAGTCTGTTTGTGAGCAGCAGGACATTTAGGATCATATTCTGAAGATTTTTTTTTAACATTAAATATTTATAATGTATGTTAGAATTAGATTACGGTGCTATGCTATAGTGATACAACATTATTACTTATAGATTGGTAAGTATGTTGATAGGTATTTGTCTGTCTGTGTGTTAGATGCACGCGATATCTCACCAAAGCGAGGTTGAATCTGCTCCAAATTTTGCATGTGCATTCATCATAGCTCGGATCAGAAGCCTATTGATTTTGGATGGATGTCTTATAATTAGCAAGTTATTAATTAATTAGTGATGGGACACACGGTGTCACTATGGAGTAAGACCACCATTTTGGGGGATCCCCTAACCTTCGATCGATAAGTCTTCGGTTTCTAACCGATATTTTCGTTTATTTATTATTTGAAATTTGTGTTTAAAACAATTTCTCGACACAACTGTCATATGACTCGGATTATATCTCTTCAAAAAATCCACTTCATCCATCGAGAGTTTTCGATTCACAGTTCCGGTCGCTCACAGGTCTGTTGCCTGCTTCGGACAGGCATCGTAACATCCGTGAGTGACTCATTATCTACTTGTTTAGAATACTATTAATTCCAAATAAGATTTTTCATTGGGCCTAGTTCCGTTTGAACCAAGAATTAATTCAAATTGAACTGGCTTACAAGTGTTTGAGAATTTAAATATCAATGATTGAATAAATTTACTTTTTCAAGTAGGTGGTTCTTCCGACAATTCTCCTGTCCAAAGACAAACTACTTTCTTTGCTCCCCATCTCTGCAATCCAGATTTGCAGTAGTAACTATTAAAAAAGTGAATGTTGTATTTTTGCTAATGTTATATGGGAGTTCATTTCATAGAAAAATATTCGTTTTATTGAACAATTTGCGAAAGCAGTAGTGTATTCGCAAGATAGGAGATGAGCACTAACATCACGTCTTTGTGCAAACGTTCTAAATCGCACTGCGAAAAATATGACGTCATAGTACACTCTGAAGTCGTCAGCTTCTACGTAGTCACGTGGTACATACTAGTGATACAGTGATTAAAAATTGAATATTTTCTATTAACTAACAACGATTTTTTCAAGGTAATAAAATTCAGTCTAAATTACTGCTAATTCACATTGCTGAATAAATTTATTTATCATTTGCAAAATGGCGCTGGGTTACGCGTTTGATCTGATTGGCCACAGGCAAAGATATGAACTTGTAACATAGACCAGGGATGCCGAACCACGGACCCGCGGGTCACAAAGCAACCCACCACGTTTTATCCGTGATCCGCCAAGGCACGAATAAAATTAAAATAAAATGCTAACATAACAGTGATAAAAATTGATAAAACCGGCTTTAAATAAATTTAACAATACCTATTATAATCTACCGTCAGTTTGGCAGTCAGGGCCGCCATCGCTCTTATTCAAATTGGTAATTTTTCGGGCCGGTATGAAGATTTTCAAAACCCCTAATTTTGGACGCATGTCTGCACCGCTGTAAAAAGTTAATCAGCTGTTGGCTCTGACATCGTTTATGACATAACAATATAACCGATTGTCGCTACGTCTGATCTCTTTCGGAAGTTCATCTAAAGACTGTTTTAGGGGTTATGCGAGAACTAGATGAGACTTGAAATAAAAGCTCAGAAATCTAAAAAACAATGGGTGTAAAAGTGCCTTAATGTGGTTAAAAGCTGATCGAAAAATAGAACGCTATCAGAGTGGAATTCCCTCCAGACTCTTGGGAACCGTAAAATAATTTGCCGCATCATTCTAAACGTTTTTGGTAATTCATATGCGTGTTTTCGAACTCTAATTTCATAAAATCGAGTGCAATAAAAAGTCCTTGATAGAAGTGCTGCATAAGTGAAGCCCAAAACTACGCCAACATCAACATGAGGTTATAAAATTTCTTTCAGAAGTTTATTATCAATACAAACATTGATCAAATATCTGTGACCCACTCTCTTCTGTTTCGCGATAAAAATATAATTTTTGACCCATCCATTGAAATAGGTTCGCCATACCTGACATAGACCGTAAGCGCGATTATTTTTTCCATTGTAAATCAATAACGGCTTTCATTGTTTGTATGTGGTCACATTCCAGGATGAAATGAATTATAACATGCGATAAAGTTTTGTTCGACAACCATTTACAACTAATACGGATTTTCAAATCATCAATGAAACCTGGGTATAAGACAACTTAGTAACATCATCCGGATAAAATATTTAATCAACACACCTGCAGTAACTTGAATAATTGTATCCATCCGTGCAATCATTATGTTCCTTGTTCCGTCGGAAAATATATTGGTTTGCAAATAACGTCTGAAATACAAATGAATTATCAAACTTAATATGGTGTGAACGTAATAAAAGATCCAGCAAGTGCTACAACTTTACACATTATTATAACATGCATTTAACACCGTAGAAATGTTTAGTGGTTCATAATTTCAAGTACAAGGAATTTTTGCCAAACGATTTTAATAAAATACGTTCACGTTAATCAATTTGAGAGTCTCTTAATTTTACTCAATAACTAACTAAGTGATGGATTTCAATTGTTCATTGGTACAAAAGAAAAAAAGAAAAATGTTTCAAATCTTACAATCAACACTTTACATTCTCACCTTCACAGGTTTGTTGTATTTCTGACCATGTCCCGTCTTCATTGCAGATTATTTTTCTTGGTCCTTTGAGTTGTTTGTGAGAATCACAGACGAAGCTGAAGAAATATTATTGTTAAAAATTATCTAAATCAGCTGATTAATTTCTAAATGAAAATGGAGAAGTAAGATTTTGTTTTTTATTATCATTGCTATCACTTAACTTTCTTAGGCAGATACAGTCCTGTTTCGTTCTAAAAAAAACTCGTCTAATAACAATGTGGTAACGCTTTATAACACAGGAATCAAACCAAATAAGTAAATTTATAGAGTTCAGAATTAGGTGCTCCAGAAGTGTGTGTACCAATAATTTTGTTCGCCGACTTTACATCAAGTTGTGTAAACTGAACCCTATGTGCAGGGCGTAGGCTATATTTCTTGGCTAAACAGACATTTTGCAAACAATCAATAGAACTAAATTAAGGAAAATCAGAATAAATTTATGGCCTATCCTTAACCTGGTACACACACTACGGGAATACCAAAAATTGTGCAGCCGTGTTCACGAGAAAATAAAATCCAGATTACATACGTTGACATGTTGGCACATATCCATCCCATTCAAGATTTTCTTGACATGTCAAAGTTATGCTGGTGCTTCCGCCGTCAAGGACAAAACCAGGTTTGCAAGATATACTGAAAAAAGTAATATAAAAGTAAATTTATGATCCAATATTTTGCAATCTTACACAAGCAGCATATAAACCAAGCCCTGAGTCCTCCAACCTATCTTATTTTAAATGGACCTCGATGGGTATTTATGAATATTTGCGAACTAAATTGATTGGTTATGCATTTTATATATAACCAATATAAATGTACTAATACATGGCCTCACTTATTTTTTATCCAGATTGCAGATTTAATCAGATTCCTGAATGAATAGTTCATAACATCTGTCCCTGGAATGTCACGGACACGACTTTCACTAAATCTGTCTTTTTGCGAATAGTTTTGTAATTCTCACCTAACTTTATAATAAAGGTAGGGGTTATTCAACAAATAACGATTTATCAATTATCAATAACATGCACAGTACTATCTTTCTCGTACTTACGTGCAAGTAGACAAGTCTTCGGGACAGGTACGCATTAAAGTAACAAAAAAAAAATGATTTCATATTACTTGATGACCATATCGTAGTACTACACAATTCAATATCATATGCCGGAGAAACCTTGGTAGTTTTGACCACACACTCATAAACAGAATTGCACACGTGATAATGCAGTGGTGTATAAAGGTCGAATATTTGGACACTAAAATTATATAGTCACAGAAAACTTTCGAAATAAACTAGGCAAAACTTTGAGAATATTAAAGGTAATAGTACTCCAGGCGACATTTGTATTTTTGACTAGTAAATATTTACTTATTGATCCAATAGTCAAGGAAATTTGCAATTTTTGTTGCAACAACATCATCACTTTAAGTATAACAGTCTATTAGGTATTGTAAAATAGAGATACATCACGCATGCCTCAAGATTGCTTTATAACAAAATATTGAATTGAATTAGTAGAATCTTGAGCGATTTATTTAATTCATAAATTTTGAAAGATATCTAAATCACAATAGCTTGAGCGCGCTTTTATTTTGATCATGGATGATGAAAAATTCAAAAATCATTGAGAAAATATAAGCAAACGCTAGCTTGCGATGGAGATTTCTTTTTACAAATGCAGTTGATTAATTTTTTTCAGTATATTGTCAATTTTACAACGTTCAGTTTCGCATATTACACCAGGTACACGGGCCTTGATGCTTGCTGTCCAAATGCCATTGATAGTGTCTTCTGGAGAATTCGAAATAAATATCGCTATTTCGGTGGTGCTTCTATCATCATTCTGTGTCCACACCGAATCCGGCAAATCTGAGATCGACCCATCGTAATTTTTCAACACATTGCTCTGTTATGAAATTGACATTCATTGCCTTGTGGAAATAAACTTCCCTCTATTGTTTTTATATATTTTTAACAAAGCATTGCCTTTGCTATATTTTTCACTTTACGTGAATCTGTATTGCCTGCAAAATCATTATATTTAAATTCATTTATTCATTCATTATAATTGTTACATAACATTATAAATGATGGATCTATTTAATCTCTTCAAATGAATAAAAAAAATTTAAATTGTTTTAGGGCAATTGCATAATCATATAAATATGTCAATATTCATTTATATATACGAAAACGAAATGTTGTATACAGAGTTCGGAATCGATATTCCCAAATGAAACATTAAATTAATATTTCTTACATCTGGATCGTACTTCATTCCTAGTAACGCGGGGTATATTGGTGTAGACGTCGGATTTTCTCCACGTCCATAATTTAAAAGTTGGTTAAAGTGCTGTACATCGTATATGGTGGCTGGTGAAGCATTGAAGTCATTGCATATTTGTTCTCCCCCTGCACTTGCAATAATAACTGCAAGCAAAGAAAAATCAAATATGACCCAAAAAACATCTCCGGTCATAAATGAATCCGCCCTCTTCGAGACAGGTGTGCTGGTTTTCCGAAAGTTAATAAAAATACATTCATTTTATTACTATATCCATTATAAAACCCAAGCTGGTCCCGATGAACTAATTATTTTGAAATCGCAGCCCGTTCGCAGGTTCAAATCCCAGATTGGAAATCATTGGGTAATTCGTATTCGCAGTATATAAGAAGCTGGCCTTCCTGGAACATCGCGTCGGCCTACACATAAATAAGAATTTTCGACATTTAACTCCAGAGCAAAAAGTTATCGGATTGCCTGGCTAAGTGTGAATGGATGTTAACTTGCTACTGAAATTCAAGATACATTCGTATAAAATATTAATATATATTAATCTGTAATTTTCAGTTGGGCTTCAATAAAACTTTCCTTTTCAAATCTGAATGACAGTAATTGATTTGAAGTTTACGATAATATTGTGGTTCTCAACCGGGGGCCCGGGGCCCCCCAAGGGGTCCACGAAGAAGTTCAAGGGGGGCCACGACACAAGGCTAATAATTGATCATAAAGCGACTTCGTTTTGCATACTTTCCCTTTAAAATAAAATTCCCCGTTCAGGCGTTCAAGGTAGTTTCATTACTTGAATAGGGTGTTCGCGATCACAAGGTGTATGTGCGTGAATTGTTTGATCATAATGAAATTTGAAATCTACCAATCAAAATAGTTCGCTGGTAGGCCGTCTAACATGCAGAAGAGCGGTTTCATTAGACTGCGAAATAACCTTTGCTATCGTATTATAGACGCAAAAACCCAGATGTAATTTCTTAATGCCAAAAGTACAAAATGGAACGTCAGTTACGTTGGCTTTACCAAAGTAAATCGAGATGAGAGAGATGTGCGCAATGCCTGCATTGCTCGTAAGTATTGAGCGATGAATCATTTACGTCCGTCTAAACTCCAAACCACCCTGACAAAAATCATCCCCAGTTGAAATACGTTGACATCGGTTTCTTGGCCACCAAGCGAGTTAGATTTGTTTTCTCTAGAAACCGTCTTGATGTTGACAGTGACAGTCGTCAGGCTTCATCAAAGACGGTGCCTAATATAAGAAACCCCGTCAGACAGTCCCAAGCGCAAGATTCCGATTGATTGTATACTAAAAAGCATAGACTTTCTTGTCTGTGGTTTGTTTTTTCATTCAATAAAAGGTCGTAAAAACATATTCCAATCCAACACGTTCAGTTTTTTGGAATGGCGAACAGGGGGGTCACGAGCCATAAAATATTGGGAACCACTGCGATAATATATTGAAACCAAAATAAACCGATCTATTGTATAAAACCTAATTTTGTACCAGGTCGAATTAAATCTTGACTTGACTTTTATTTATATCGGAAGCAGGCGATTGATGGTGATTATTACGTAGTAATTTTTGTTTTTCTGGAGTTTGTTCAATCTCAAACTTATTAGCAATTTGCAATTATACTAAACAATGAGTTCATTATTCAATTTTACCCTGGTTATTCAATTTGGCCTAAGTTTGTTTCTTTTTACAAATTTACAGTTTTCTTGTCTTATTGTGTTTCTATTGCAAACGAATTTAAATAAATAATCATCAGTTCCTTTATTGAAATATTTCCGCATAATTTACAGAGAATTAGCCAAGTTTCGGAAGAAAGATTCCGACCAACATAAACAAGTCTGCAAATCTATTTTTGGCGACGGAGAGAGAGATATCTCCCAACGCCCTGTTTCCTGCGCTATTTTTTCTACCGCAAACTTACCCGCCGGCACTCCGCAAACGAGCGTGATGTCTCCATCCAATCAGAATATATTTTGTGTATATTATGTAACCGCTTAAAAATTCTTTACTACTTTCTCCTGATGTATATTGTAAATATGTCAAATACTTCCACTGTTTAACAGATTATTTTTATTTATTCATGGCAATTTCTCTCAAAACCTTAACCTTATAAGCTGCTTGATCATTACAAATACAAATGCAGTTGATTAATTTTTTTCAGTATATTGTCAATTTTACAACTTACGTTCAGTTTCGCATATTACACCAGGTACACGGGCCTTGATGCTTGCTGTCCAAATGCCATTACTAGGTTTCTCTGGAGAATTCGAAATAAATATCGCTATTTCGGTGGTGCTTCTATCAACATTCTGCATCCACACCGAATCCGGCAAATCTGAGATCGACTCATCGTAATTTTTCAACACATTGCTCTGTTATGAAATTGACATTTATTTCCTTGTTTTCATATCTTTTTAACAAAGCATTGCCTGTGCTATATTTTTCACTTTACGTGAATCTGTATTGCCTGCGAAATCATTATATTTAAAGAAAATTTGTTACATAACATTATAAATGATGAATCTATTTAATCTCTTTAAATGAATAAAAAAAATCTAAATTATTTTATGACACTTGGAACTCGCATAATCATATAAATATGTCAATATTCATTTATATATACGAAAACGAAAGTTGTATACAGAGTTCGGAATCGATATTCCGAAATGAAACATTAAATTAAATTTTCTTACATCTGGATCGTACTTTATTCCTAGAAACCCGGTCGCTGTTGAAGTTTCCCCGACCTTTGACCCGAGAATAATTTTCTTTATACTCTACTATTTAAGAAAAATATTATATTTACTTAGTGAGTGTTCTGAAGGTTAGAAGTTTACAAACTGGTTTTCATGTTCAATACCATCATTGTTATTCAAATATTCGAACACGCGCCGCTTGCAGGTACTAATGTCTTTTTGTCCAGTCTATCGAAGCGTTCGCAAGACTAATTTTTGATTATTGCGACTAAACTGAAGTTCATCGGAAGAAATACTGGCAATAAATATACTTCAATTACAACTAATTTTTGAAAGTATAACAGAAAACTGACAAATGATACGCAAAACCGCGAAAACGAGCGGCTTCAAAAATTAGAATCATTACGTCATCGTTGAATTTTGGCTTATTGTTCAGAAATAAACGAGGAAATCGATCCTCAGGGAGACACACAATGGAAGTCATGCAATAGATTTTTCTTTGTCTTCTTTTGACAAATATATTTGACGTTAGAGATAAATTAAAAATGTTTCTAATTCAAAATTTAAAGAACGGGTTCTTTTTGTGTCGCATTTACAAACAACAGGTTCCTTTGTTTGAGTAAATGTTTGTCTCCACGTAATCTGCATTGATATGACACGTTTTAAATAAAACAAACACATAACTTTCGAAACGCCAATTATTTATAACGCTATTGCCAGCTGCGGTTCACATTACCCATTTTCTGTAGTCGTCTAACTAACGCAGGGGTGTGCAACCTGAAAATTGGCACTTCTTCGCGGACCGCACAATTTTTTTGTTGGGCTCATTTGGCCCGCGGGCGGCAGGTTGAATACCCCTTGAGTTTATAAACCCCAACTATAATAAAACTACGCCCAAATATATGAACACGTCTGTTTGCAGTACAGTTTACCGTACCGTCAGATCACAGTCTACAAATATATTTACACTAAGCGAACCAGTACAGTAGGACACAAAATGGCATATTGACACGTCACAAGGTGTCGCTGTTTTTCATTCTGACATATAAAAAACGAATCTCTTGAAGCCCACAGAATTTTTTGAAATGAGTAAAAGGAATAAAGTAGTAGTAGCCTTCTGGCAAAAAAATCAATTTTTAACCACTGAAAATTTCAAAGCAATTGGTCCAGTATTCGAAGATAAAAGCGATTTTTTAATGATAATGACGGAGAAAAAAACAATAACAGCATAATATTGAAACAAACGTTATGTCCACTAAACGTGTCCAATAAAAAAAAAACGGCAAAACCAAAACACGAGTTCAGACGGCTATAAGTCTGAATAGATTGACGTTTTATGACAAGCGGTGGTGAGATTCACGTGGTTCACGAACCTGTTCTTGGAATACCGTAAAAATCATCGACTCCGTTCTCGTTTCGGACGTGGGTCGCAATTGGCCCGCGGGGCGCAGCACGATCACATAAAACGCGTAATGTGAACGGCAGCTGACAATGGCGTTTTAAAAGTTATGTGTTTGTTTTATTTAAAACGTGTCATATTAATGCAGCTTACGTGAGTACAAACATACAGTTTCTCAAACCAGGGAATCTGTTGTTAGAGAATTCGACACAAAGGAGAACCCGTTCCTAAACTTTTGAATTAGAAACTTTTTATTTATCTCCAATGTGAAATATATTTATCGAATAGGAACAAAGGAAAATGTATTGCGTAGCTTCCATTGGATGTTTCCCTGAGGATCGATTTCATCGTTTATTTCCGTAATAATCAGCAAAAATTCAACGATGACGTAACAATTCTAATTTTTGCCACCACTCGTTTTCGCGGTTTTGCGTGTTATCTGTCAGTTTTCAGTTGTATTTTTAAAAATTAGTTGTAAATGAAGTACATTAATTACCAGTATTTTTTCCGATGAACCTCAGTTTAGTCGCAATAATCAAAAATTAGTCTCGCAAACGCTGCGATGGACTGGGCAAAAATTAGGTAAGAGTACCTACAAGCAGCGCGTGTTTGAATATTTTAATAACAATGATGGTTTTGAACATGAAAACCAGTTTGTAAACTACCAACCTCCAAAACACTCACTAATTAAATATAATTTTTTTTCTTGATCGGAGATTATAAAGAAAATTATCTTGGGTCAAAGGTCGGAGAAACTTCAACAGAAAGGAATTAAGTTATATCCCCTGATATCCAACTATCCGCACATGCTTGATTGAATATAAACCGTGAACACTGAATCTCAAGTGATTCTTTTAATTACCTGAAATGATTAAGCAGCTCATAAGGTTTCGACAAAAATTAACACAAATAACTAAAAAGAACCGGTTTAACGATGGAAGTATTTGACATATTTACAATATAAATCAGGGGAAAGTAGTAAAGAATTTCTAAACGGTTACATAATATAAACAAAATTCTGATTAGATGGAGACATCAAGCTCGTTTGCGGAGTGCCGGGGGGTAAGTTTGCGGTAGAAAAAATAGACCAGGAAACAAGGCGTTGGGCTGAAATATCATTGTTTTGTTGCTTTAATTATACACCACACCATGTTGGGCAGAAACGTATTCTTAGGGTTGTTTATGGGATTTATCTGCTCCACAGCAGAAGGTAAGTTTTGCATTTTACTTCAGAAACTCGGTAACACTATGTATTTTGCCCGAACCCATGGTTTATTGGACTTTCCGACTCGCTTAGATTTGTGTCTGTGTGTGTTTCAGTTCTAGCCTTGTAAAAAATGTTATTATATTCTAACTAATACTATATTAGTATATTAATATAAATAACAACGTCGTTTTGCCCAACCGATCTGAGGGCGTTTTATGGAAAATTACTGTATATATGTTTTCTGGAAGGCTATCTTGCACGCAAACCCTCTACGGCCAAGCTCAACCCTCTGTTTCGCAAGATGTTGCAATTCATGATACATTACAAATTTTTTACACAGATAGATAACAGTTATCGGCCACTAGTTCGTCGATTTAAAGTTAAAAATGCAAAGTAACAGGCGATATAGCCCAAATAAAAAAATCTTTTACATCCACAAATAAACGAATACCTGCCAACGTGTAATTCGTCGGCAAAAAAAAACAGGTCAGCACAATACAAACATATGGAGATACAACTCTTTCTGACGCTGTGATAATATATATTTCCTATTTCGTCTATCAAAGCAATCTCTAAAGCTTAGCACGCGCACACACCACTGGGACGTGCTATGCGTAAAACCTAATTATTGTTATTAATAATTATATGGATATCTCTTCGGTTCCTTCCCTATAATTCCCTTCGTCGCCAAAATACACTTGCAGACTTGTATATGTTGGCCGGAATCATTCTACCGAAACTTGGCTAATTATCTGTAAACTATGCGAAAGTTGAAATAATTCAAAATATAAATTAAAGATTATTTATTTAAATGCGACAATAAAATAAGAAAATTGTAACTTTGTAAAAAGAAACAACTTAGGCCGAACTGAATTACCAGAGTAGAATTTAATAATGAACTCATTGTTTAGTATAATTGCAAATAAGTTTGTGATTCAACGAATTTCAGTAAAACAAAAACTAGTATGTGATAATCACCATCTATCGCCTGCTCCTGGTATAAATGAGAATCAAGTCAATTTTTTTTCAACCCAGTAAAAAACTAAGTTGTATACGATAGATAGTTTTATTTTGGTTTCAATATATTATTGTAAACTTCACATCAATCACTGTCATTCAAAGGGAACGTTTTATTGGAAGTCTAAAAATTACAGATGAAGTTATACTTATATTTTATACTAATGTAATTGAATTTCAGCAGCAAGGTAATGATGACACGTCCATTTACACTTAGCCAGACAATCCGATAACTTTGTTCCGATATCTTTGTTCTGGAATAAAATTTTGGATATTGATATGCAGGCCGACGCGATGTTCAAGAAAGGCCAGCTTCTTATATACACGGAATACAAATTACCCAATGGTTTCCGACCTGGGATTTGAACCTGCGATTTCAAAATCATTAATTCGTCAGGACCAGGGCTTTATCATAGATTATAGCATTAAAATGGATGTGCTTTTATTTTAATAAACTTGCAGAAAATCAACACACTTGTCTCGAAGAAGGCGGATTCCTTTATGACCGGAGATGTTTTTGGGTCATACTTGATCTCATTTCGAAGTTTACAAGTGCACAGGGAGAACAAAAGTGCATAGAATTCGATGCTTTACCTGCCAACATATACAATCTACAGCACTCCAACCAACTTTTAAGTTATGGACGTGGGAAAAGTCCGACATCTGATCGATATTACTCTGCGTTTCTAGGAATGAAGTACGATCCAGATGTAAGAAACGTTAATTTTTGATGTTTTATTTGTAAATACCGATTCGAAACTCTGTATACAAATTTTCGTTTTCGTTTAGAAATGAATATTTACATATTTATATGATTGTGCAAGTGCCAAGTGTCATAAAATAATTTTTTATTCGTTTAAAGAGATGAAATGGATTCATCATTTATAATGTTATGTAACAGAATTTTTTAATTATAATGATTCCGCAGGCAATACAGATTCACGTAAAGTGAAAAGTATAGCACAGGCAATGCTTTGTTAAAAATATATGAAAATAATAGAGAGTAGTTTATTTCCACAGAAAAATAAATGTCAATTATATAACAGAGCAATGAGTTGACAAATTACGATGGCTCGAGCTCAAATTTGCCGGATTCGGTGTGGGTGCAACAAGCTAATAAATTCTCCACCGAAATGGGGATAATTATTGCGAATTCTCCAGAAGACACTCTCAATGGCATTGGGACAGGACACAAATTGGAACGTGTAGAAGGTGTAATATGCGAAACTGAACGTAAGTTGTTGAAATTGACAATATACTGAAAAAAATTATTCGACTGCCTTTGTTAAAAAAAACTTTATCGCAAGCTACCGTTTTCTTTTGTTTTTTCCATGATTTTTGAATTTTTCATCCCCCAGGCTCAAAATAAAAGCGCACTCAAGCTATTGTGATTTAGCTCAACTTTAAAAATTTATGAATTGAATAAATCGCTTGAGATTCTACAAATTCAAAATTGCGGTATAAAGCAATTTTGAGGATTGGGTGATGTATCTCTATTTTACAAAATAACCGATTGACTGTTATTCTTAAAGTGACGATGTTGTTGCAACGAAAATTGCATATTTCCTTGACTATTGTATCAATAAGTAAATATTTACTAGTCAAAAATACAACTGTCGTCTGGCGAACTATAACCTTTAATATTCTCTATGTTCTGTCTGGTTTACTTCGAAAGTCTTTCATTGACTTTTCATTGACTTATAATTTTGGTGTCCAACGACCTTTGTACACCACTGCATTATCACGTGTGCAATTCTGTTTATGAGTGTGTGGTCAAAACTTCCAAGGTTTCTCCGGCATATGATATTGAATTGTGTAGTACTATGATATGGTCGGCAAGTAATATGAAATCATTTTTTTCTGTTACTTTACAGTAACAATTATTCAATATGTCTAATCTAATCACATTTAATACCGATTGTCGTCCAATTACAGAATTCAGTTGCTCTCCACCACAAATAAACATGGAAACCCAAACGCGTACCTGTCCCGAAGACTCGCCTACTTGCACGTAAGTACGAGAAAGATAGTAATGTGCTTGGTATTGAAAATTGACAGATACTTTATTTAGTGAATAACCCCTAGCTCCTTTATTAAGTTATATATAAAATGCATGATCAACAAATTTATTTCGCAAATATTCATAAATACCCATCAAAGTCTATTTAAAATGTGATAGGTTGGCGGACTCATGGCTTGGTTTATAAGCTGCTTGTGTAAGATTGCAAAATATTAGATCATAAATTTACTTTTATATTACTTTTTTCAGTATATCTTGCAAACCTGGTTTTGTCCTTGACGACGGAAGCACCAGCATAACTTTGACATGCCAAGGAAATCTTGAATGGGATGGAGAAGTGCCAACATGTCAACGTATGTAATCTGGATTTTGTTTTCTCGTGAACACGGCTGCACAATTTTTGGTATTCCCGTAGTGTGTGTACCAGGTTAGGGATAAGCCATAATTTTATTCTGATTTTCCTTAATTACTTATCGATCTTAAGATCGGTAAGTATGTGGATAGGTATTTGTCTGTTTGTTTGTTTGTTTGTTTGTCTGTTAGATACACGCGATATCTCACGAAAGCGAGGTTGAATCTGCTCCAAATTTTGCATGTGCATTCATCATAGTTCGGAACAGAAGCCTATTGATTTCCGATGAATTATGTCGTATGATTAGCGAGTTATTAACTAATTAGTTGTGGGACACACGGTGTCACTATGGGGTAAGAGCGCTGTTTTGGGGGATCCCCTAACCTATGATCGATAAGTCTTCGGTCTCCGACCGATGTTCTCGTTTAGTTCTATTAAGTGTTCGCGAAATGTCTGTTTAGCCAAGAAAATATAGCCTACGCCCTGCACATAGGTTTCAGTCCCTTTACACAACTTGATGTAAAGTGGGCGAACAAAATTATTGGTACACACACTTCTGGAGCACCTAATTTTGAACTATAAAGTAACTTATTTGGTGTAATTCCTCTGTTATAAAGCGTTACCACATCTGTGTAAGAAAGTTGAGTGATAGCAATGTTAATAAAAAACAAAATCTCCATCTGATACATTTTTTTCTACAAATTTTTACTAATGCTAAAGAGGGTAATAGTATGTTCTTTTTTTCAGTTGCTGAGTGCACAGAACTTAGTTTTGATGGACAGCCAGGTCTTATGCAGTGTACTGGGTATAAATATCAGGATGAATGCAAGTAAGTAGGTTTTCCCGCCAAACCATATTTAAATTCAAATTAACCAGCTGATTTATATAAATTTTACCAATAATATTTCTTCAGCTTCGTCTGTGATTCTCACAAACAACTCAAAGGACCAAGAAAAATAATCTGCAATGGAGACGGGAAATGGTCAGAAATACAACCAACCTGTGAAGGTGAGAATGTAAAGTGTTGATTGTAACATTCCTAATTTTTTATATTTGTTTCTTTTGTACCAATGAACAATCGAAATCCACCACTTAGTTATTGGGGAAAATTGAAATACTTCATACAGTTTAACGTGAACGTATCTTGTTAAAATCGTCCATTCTTTGTTCTTAAAATTATGAACTACTAAACATTTCTACCGTGTTAATAACAATGTGTAAAGTTTTTACACTTGCTGGACCTTTTATACCGTTCACATCATATTAAGTAATTAATTCATTTGTTTTTCAGACGTTATTTGCAAACCAATACATTTTCCGCCGGAACAAGGAACATATGATTGCACGGATGGATACAATTATGCAAGTTATTGCAGGTGTGTTGATTGAATATTTTATCCGGATGATGTTACTAAGTTGTCTTATACCCAGGTTTCATTGACGCTTCGAAAATATGTATTAGTTGTAAATGGTTGATGAACAAGACTACATCGCTTGTTATAATTCATTTCATCCTCGTATGTGACCTCGTACAAACAATGAAAGCCGTAGAAATTAATTTACAATGGGCAAAATAATCGAGACTTACGATCTATGGTATAAGTTCATATCTTTGCCTGAGACCAATCAGATCAAACGCGTAACAGAGCGACATGTACGACTTTCTGCAAATGATAAATAAATTTATTCAGCAATGTGAAGTAGCAGTAATTTAGACTGAATTTCATTACCTTGAAAAAAATAGTTGTTAGTTTATAGAAAATATTCACTTTTTAATCACTGTATTACTAGTGTGTACCACGTGACTACGTAAAAGCTGACTGTGACGAATGCACGACTTCAGAGTGTATTATGACGTCATATTTTTCGTACGGTGATTTAGAACGTTTGCACAAAGACGTGATGTTAGTGCTTATCTCCTATCTTGTGAATACAATACTGCTCTCGTAAATTGTTCAATAAAACGAATATTTTTCTATGAAATGAACTCCCATACAACATTAGCAAAAATACGACATTCACTTTTCTGATAGTTTCTACTGCAAATCTGGATTGCAGAGATGGGGAGCAAAGAAAGTAGTTTGTCTTTGGACAGGAGAATGGTCGGAAGAACCACCTACTTGCAAAAGTAAATTTATTCAATTATTGATATTTAAATGCTTCAACATTTGTAAGCCAGTTCAATTTGAAATTAATTCTAGGTTTAAACTGAACTAGGCACGATGAAAAATCTTATTTGAAATTAATAGTATTTTAAACAAGTAGGTAATGAGTCACTCACGGATGTTCAATTCCTGTCCGAAGCAGGCAACAGACCTGTGAGCGACCGAAACTTTAAATCGAAAACTCTCGATGGATGAAGTGGATTTTTTGAAAAGATATAATCCGAGTCATATGACAGTTGTGTCGAGAAATTGTTTTGAACACAAATTTCAAATAATAATTAAATAATGTTGTATCACTATAGCATAGCACCGTAATCTAATTTTAACATACAATTTAAATATTTAATGTTAAAAAATTTTCTTCAGAATATGATCCCAAATGTCCTGCTGCTCACAAACACACTTCATGTCCCGACACAAACTGTGCAGTCAATGCTGATTGCAATGACGACAAGAAGCTTTGTTGTCCAACAAAATGTGGAACGTCTGTTTGTTGGGATTTACCGAAACGAACAATTTCTAAAGGTTAGATTATTTTCTAAATGTGTTCTATTGAAAGTTTCAATTTGTGATAAAACTATTTGAAAAGAACTTGGCATTTATGTTTTAATGCATCATCTAATTATCTGTGAGGGGGCGGATATCAATATGTTGAACCCCAACCCTACGATCTAGCATGGCGTTCTGTGGTGAATAACTCCATATGTCTTGTGTGGTGGAGGACTCGTATGGTATCTCCATATGAAAAACCTTATTCCCACAATTTATCTTTCCCATTGAATATTCATACGATAAATCATAATTATTAACGATACCATCTAGTCGTGTGTTCGTGAGAGGGGGGGGGGGTCTCAGATTCAAACACTTGTAATTTCCCTTCACTTTATTAAGGTCGTGAATATACAAACAAACTAAAATAATAAACTTTCAAAATGTAAAGTTAGATAACATTGTATTACAGAAGCGCTCCTGTTGTTAGTACTTGGTGGATTTGGCAGAAACCAATGCTCTAAGAACTGCTTGAGAAACGCGTGTGAGACTGCACGATGTCCAGCAAATCTCAACGCACAATGTAGAACATCATGCAGTGGTTGCCGAGCTCACTTTTATGATTTTAATCAAGAGGTTACCGGAAAGTGTAAGTTTATACTTATTACATATAATAAGCTTCTATTGCTCATTAGGAACTTGATTTGAAGCCAATACAATTTCATCACAAAGAGTTTGTTGGTATGACTTGTAGGGTATGTAGTACAAAGTATGTGAGATAACCATATATAATCTTTGTGTGCAGTATTTGGTGTTTTCAGATTTTCTATTTCTCACAAACGTTTTAAGACTTTAAAGACATTGTAACCTTTTGTAAACACGATTCCTAAAACTGCTTATTGATAAATATTGAATAAAATGACAGAATAAATAAAAAGTATTTTATTGATGTTTAACTTCAATTTTGTTTATTTAATTCAGGTCAATGTTCACGTGGATATGTCGCGCCAAACTGCAATCAACAGCAATGTGCAAACTACAGATGCATCACAAACGGTCAGCAGGTTTCTTACTACTATGCCAGACAATACTACAACCCCAACATACAATGTCGCATGAGCAGCTGTGGTGGATGCTTTCCCCAATTCTACGATAGACGTGGACGAAGAATCAATTGCAGACAAATATTGCAATATGTATCGAATCCAGGAATTCCAGGTAGTAATAATGTGAAAGGTTTAATTGAAATTGAATGATATAATATAACTGTTGATCGATTTTTGTATTTGAATATCTGTTTTGGATAAACAATGTCGAAGTCAAAATTTTCTACAGCAAACCATCTCAAATACATGAATAAAAGAAATTTTAGATGCGACTGAATTTCATAGTGACTTAAAAAACATTTTAATACAATTTTACTTTATCATACTTTTAGTGGCAAATCTACCAATTACCGGATGAGTACTGCAGACTACCGAAGACGGATCACAACAACATATTGATCCTAAAAGAAACTTACCTGATTTAAGCCTGTTATCCATGATTACAAAATTCATGGAAGGAGACCTGGAGAATCATTCAAACTTCTATAATCTGATTTAAACAAATGCCCAAAAAGCATCTCTCCAGCCACATCTTAATTACAACATCCCCAATAAGGCCTAATGTCATAAACTGTTTGTCCATGCCATATCTCTCGTAAAATAGATTTAAACTGACGAAGGTGTTAAATATGCATATTTTAATTGTTCCCTTCAATAAAAAAAATTCTTAATTGATGTTTTCATCACCTTCGAAAAACTCTTAACTTGTATATTTTAGGATATTTGTATATATCAGTTTGTTGGCGATTACCGATAAGAATAAATGTATATCCAGTGTCACTTGAGTCTGAATGCAGTCACAAGATTGGCGCGAGGAGAAGTGTGATTTTTCCAAGCCTGAAACCGGATGCCTGGCATTCGATATGCAAAATCGCAACATTAGGAATATGATTGAATTGACGGGTTCATCTTGCTTTCCGAGAGACCAATAAAGCATGAGTTTTTGCCGCAAACCCATTACGTAGGGGGGGGGGGGGGGGAGGACATTGCGGAATTCGTTCTACACCAGCGGTGTACAACCGTATAGCCTTGTGGGCATTGAGACACGTGAACTACACTAGTCACATTGAACGGAATGCGCATGCGCATTGTAGTAGCATGATACGGCACCCTGCCGGTATCTTAGCAGCCTGGTACTCGCGACTTAACGACAATTAAATAAGGGTGAGTTTTGAAGAGGAAATATATCACTCGAAGCTGCACACTGGCATAATAAGGAACCTGTCGACTCGAGACCAAAATCAAAGCGCACAGCTCTTCGCCGGCCTTAGTTTGTTGACGAAATTAATAGGTCTTTGGCTTCGCCCGCCTCGATCGTTTTTGTTTATTACAAAAAACTAATGCGAATTCGATTATAAAATTCTGCATTTTTGATTTTTTTCTGTTATAAAGTAATCATAAGCATTAGAAAATAGGTTTAGAGAAAAATTACCTGAAATTTCACAATTGTCTGGTTTTAGGGAAACAAGAAATTGAACGTGCAAGCCTGAAATGCCCACTGCGTCACGCGCGCGTCTTTTCTGTTTGGAAGTCAATGGAGTCCCGTATGCGTCAACCAACATAGTTAACTACGTAAAATTTTGGTGTCACGGTTTATCCTAACTTAATTGAAAAAAATTTCACGTTACGTAAAATACTCAATTTGGTAAATCTAACTTGGCTTTTGAAATATTTTGTTTGTCTGAAAGTCATGACCAATACCTTTTACAACATGAAATGGCAGATATAGACTATATATATATATATTGTGTTTCTTTCAGGTTATTATGCAATTTATCGGGTTTTGGACACGTGAGTGGACATATGGATCGTTTTGATATTATTATTGTTGTTCTTGTTGATATTCTTCTTCTTCGTTATGATAAAATCGCTTTTCTCTACGATTACTGGACCAATTGCTTTGAAATTTTCAGTGGGTAAAGAATGATTATTTTTCCCAGAAGGCTATTGCTTTTATTTTATCTTAAATTTTCTACGAATCCTATAAGATCTAATATTTCATGCAAAATTGCGCTGTATTACTTTTTAATTATGGGAACACGGTTTTTATTCCGACAAGCGTGACGGTTGACTGTTAAAATTCTTGCCAATGGAAACTCGGAAATTTTCGAGGGTACGGCACCGGTAACGTCATAGGAGAGGAATGCTTCGATCTGGTCCACGTGTCCATATATTCGAGCGTTGCTCTCTTGTATTTTTTGTCACAATGTTTAAATTTTTAGATAATTTCTTTATTGATAATTCCTCGTCTCAATTGACTTTATTGTTTCCGCAAGGTATCATCATGTTAGTCAGAAACACGTCTGTTGTAACTGCGTTGACCCGAGCATGACGCTGAGTATTTAAACATTTTTTCCCGACTGACTGTCTAGTTTTTCATGAATATTTTATATTTAACTATTTTTTCCTGACGGACTCCCTCAATATCCAACTTGTATTCAATAAGAAAAATATGTTCAAATACTGTTTAATTGACATCATTTGCAGCTGTACACAGCCAGATGTCGACGACACGTTAACTCCATAGTTTATTCGCGGCTCTTCGTCTATCGCTGTCGAATTATTATCTGTTGTTTTTTTCCCTCAAATAATTTATTTATACTGTTTATTTGTACAATATTTCGTGCATGACGGAAATAATTATCTGAATCTTATAATTTTAATTTTCGACCCAACTGCTGTTGGATCTCCAGCGCCGTTAGTGTCTATTTCTATATAGCTGGCACGTATTGCACCTTTTGTTTTTGGCAACGTCACAAAAGTCTCACTTCATTGCTCGCATTTGACGTGTTTCATCTTTATCGTAATTGCAATGTGTTAGGAATGAAACTGTGGTGGATCTTTTGAATAATACTTATTATATATTGGCAAGTAGGATATACTCCATTACTCAAATTGTCGATAACCAAGAAGGGCAATATTATTTTAATAAATTTTCCAACGAAAGTCAACAAGTTTGGAATAGTTTAACTTTGAATTGGAAGGAAATCTTAGCAAAATGAAAATAGACCTAAATATTATAGACATGTTGATTCTGAAGAAAAAACTACAAATAAAATTAGTAATTTACTAAAAAGTATGAAAATTGGATGAAACGCTACATGCCATGACAATTACATAGTACCAAAATATGATTTGAATATACCAATTAATTGGATTTGAAAGTGCAAAATACATAAGTATATAGATTACAGCGGTTCCCAAACTATGGGTCGCGACCCACTGGTTGGTTGCAATAGGAATCTTAGTGAGTCGTGAAAAGATGTGGAAAGCTTTGATTAATTATACTGGTTATTAGGATGGTGGCGACTCGAATACGTAAATCTTCAAATAAAACAAAAGAAATTAAATTGAATTTAAATTCTAATCTGTGAAAGTTTCGTTTTTACGATCTTCTCAAAGGAACAAAAGTTTGTTACACAAAGAATGACTGTGTGGCTTTTTTACGCATAGCAGTTCTGTACACTGTACAGCACTTCTTACCGTGTTTCCCGAAATTTAGACTGGGTTTAGATTTATTTTTTTTTTGAAGAATAACACTATGTTTTTTTTTGGGAGAGGTCTTTTGTGTTCATTTATCAAAAAAAAAATTACATTGTAGAAAATCACGATATTTTTTAATAAACCTTATAAAAAAACGGACATGCGTATATGCGTATTTCCTATACAAAAATCAAGTGACAAATATCATAATTGTGATATCACACAATATTGAATAGTGGTGTGATCTTCACCTTACCTCAGGCCAATGAACCTTTCTTCTCCGATACATTTTAAATTTATATTGAGGGTAGGGTTTAATTGGATCATTTTTAAAATTCAAATTAGGACTATATTAGGACTATATTCATATATATATAGGAACTGACTATAAAGACTTTGAAATTATGTACTGTAGAAATTTGCTAAAAGAATTGGTTGGAGAACGAAAAACTTTAAGTAAGTAGAAACCTTTATAACACTCAGTAAGTCTGGTGATTTGTTTTCTCCCACCAAAACTCTAACACAATGTTGGAAAACCATAAATAGGACTTTCAGCATTTTTCGTAATAGGAAATAGTTTCAAACATACTTTTCTGTTGGACTTTTAAAAAACTTTCACCATTTTTCTGGTGAACTAACAATAGAAACGTGTGAAAATTTTTGCAGTAAATGATCGATATGAAACATTGTATCATAACACATCATTTACAAAATAAAGTTTAGTTTTATTCAAAGATGTTGAGATTAAATTAAACTATTTAGATCACAGTACCAAATCAAACAGGATAATCAGCAGGACAGGTGAAACTGACATTTTAAGAAGAGTCTGATCTGACAACAGAAACTCAGGAATTATGTACTGTTGAAATATGCTAAATAAATTGTTTTGAGAACGAAATCCTTTAGTAAGTGGAAATCTTTATAACACTCCGTAGGTCTGGAGATTTGTTTCAGACATACATTTCTGTTGGACTTCTGGAAAATTGTAAATAGGACTTTCAGCATTTTTTGGGTTGAACCAACATAGAAACGTGTGGAAAATTTTGTTGTCAAGACAGACTGTAGTTTATTCAAGGATGTTGAGATTGTCAAATCTTTTGACACACATTAAACTACTTATATCACGGTTCCAAATCAAACAGGGTAATAACCAGCATAGGTGAAACCGACATTCTAAGAAGAATCTGAACGACTATAAAAACTCAGAAATTATGTACTGTGAAATATATTCAAAAAGAATTGGTGGGAGATCGAAACTCTTAGGAAGTGTGTAACTTTGTTATTTTTTTCGAAATTTCGGTCAGAATTTTGAATAGGCATAAATAGGACTTCTGAATGAATTTCTGAATAAACTTTCAGGGTGGATTCACACGACTTGGATTTTTTTGCAGTGATTGGTTTGCTATGAAACAAACAATGTGAAACAATTCAGATGCCATTTCCGACCTAGGCTACAATTTTATGTAGCCTACATAGCTAGAGAATTGTATGCCAGCATTTCGACAATCATTTACATTTTGTACTGTCCATATCCTATCATCAAGAATACAATTCCCAGCAGGCATTCCAAGGTGAATCTGACAATGAGCATAGAGAAATAATATCCTGTAAAAGTAGTAGAAGATTTATTAACTGAAATACTTAATTAAACTTCAAAGTTTGTAGCTTGTTTTAAAATAAACACTTACAAATGATGTGCTGAAAAAGTATTCATTGATAACTGACAATAAAACCTTTGAAATTATGTACTGTTGATATAAGCTAAAAGAATTGGTTGGAGAACGAAACCTTTTTGTAAGTGGAAACCTTCATAACATTCCGTAAGTCTGGTGATTTGTTTCAGACATACATTTCTGTTGGACTTTTGGAAAACTATAAAGAGGACTTCCACCATTTTTCGGATTGAACAAACATAGAAACGTGAGAAAAATTTTGCTGTGAATGATTGATATGAAACATTGTATTATAATACGTCTTTTGCAACACAGACTGTTGTTTTATATTCAAAGATGTTGAAATTGCCCTGTGTCAAATCTTTGACAAACATTAAACTACTTAGATCACAGTACCAAATCAAACATGATAAGAACCAGCATAGATGAAACCGACATTCTAAAAAGAATCTGAACTGACTATAAAAACTTAGAAATTAAGTACTGTGAAAATATGCTAAAAGAATTGATGGGAGATGAAAAAAGAATTACGAATTATGATGCAACAAAACTTTAATTAATACCTACGATTACCGGAGGAATTAGACTTTTTGTACCATAATTTTATTCCAACAACAGCAAATG